GTCAGCTGACACTCTCAGCCAATGAATGGCAATGGCTGCGTCTTCGGACTTCTGCAGCTCTATAGAGGTGAGAATCGCTTCACAGTATCACCAGGTAACTTTGGAACCTGGCAGAGACCCTGGTAAAGGGGTAAACCATTGCTAAACGGTCGAAATGTCAATTCGCTTCAACAACCTACCGTAAGTCTGTTTTCTCACAGATCATGAAGTTTAACAGTATGGTGGAGGACTCCAGTCAAACAGCACAGTCAGTATTGCAAATAAGGAGACATACATACATTTAGTTTAATGGAAAAAAAGGCCTCTATATCCAAGCAACTAATAACCCAATTTGCATCGATGTGCATGCATCTTAAAAAAAGAATTAACAGTTATTTATATTAATGATTTCAGTTTTCTTATATATAAATAGTTTAAGATATAGCTAATGGCATCATCCAGTTTAGACAAGGCAGAATTAAGGCAAACATTGCAAATGAAGAGAGACAATGAAAAACCTTGTTTCACTTCTCTTCTGAGTGTTTTCTTTATGCCGTCTGCCAGACTGACTGGGAACTAAGATGGAGGAACCCAGGTACAGGGTAAAAATGTGTTAACACTTACATTTAAAGGGATACTACAGTGCTAGAAATACCAAGCTGTATTCCTAACTATAGCTCCCTCGCACCCCCTGCACTGTAAGGGTTACTAAACCCTTGCTGCATTAGACCCTCTCCATTGGAAAGCATTGCTGCAATGATTCCCTAGGGAGATTTTAGCGCCGTTGGATGTCCTCATGCAAAGTTTGAGGATGTCCAGCGTCAGGCAACCAAAAGTCGCCTAACCAGCAGGAAGTGCCTCTAGTGGCTGTCTTGACCCTGCCAAGAAATTTAGCAGTTTATCAGAAACTAATAATTACCATTGCAGTGTTAAAGGGACAGGGACACTGCACCCAGACCACTTGAATGAGATGAAGTGGTCTGGGTTCCTACAGTGTCCCTTTTGGTTGTATTTTTCCCACTTCACAAATACATGCTTGTCGAATATAGGTAGGAGTAAACATAATATTAAAATGACAAATTTAACACCATTTCTGGGTTAATAAAAGACCATGTAATAATGTTTCAACATACAAACACTTTATAGGAAAAATAAACCATTTAGTAGATATACCCCAATCCCAAATTAAAAACACATGCATTTCATATATTTATCTGAGTTAATGGACACTATAGGCATCAAAACGACTTTAGCTTAAAGGACCAATATAGGCACCCAGACCACTTCAGCTAAATGAAGTGGTCTTGGTGCCAGGTCCAGCACCCCTTACTCTCTATCCAGCCCGGCGGGAGTGGTCCCTGAGGGTGGGGGCACTATAGTGCCAGGAAAAAGAGTATGTTTTCCTGGCACTATAGTGGTCCTTTAAGGAAGTTTTGGTTTATAGATTATGCCCCTGCAGTCTCACTGCTCAATTCTCTGCCATTTAGTTGTTATAACACTTTGTTTATGCAGGATTAGTCCCACCTTCCTGCATGTAACTTGCACAGTTTTCCTACACACTTTTTGAAAAGGAACCTAGATATTCTTTATTGCGCAGTCTGGTCAATCAAGAATTTCTTACCTCCTGCTCTGGTAATAGCCTTCCAGAGCCTCCTGAGTGTGATTAAAATTCAATTTACAGAGCAGGAAAGAAAAATAACAAGTTACTTTTTGAATGAAAATGAAACCATTTCTTTTCATGCAGACTGTGTGAGTCACAGCCAGGGGAGGTGTGGCTAGGGCTGCATAAACAGAAACAAAAGTGAATTAACTCCTAAATGGCAGATAATTAATCAGTGAGACTAAAGTGGCATGATCGATACACCCAAACTGCTTCAATAAAGGGACACTATCGTCACCATGACCACTACAACATAATGTGTGTGTATATAGCGTGTCCGTGCAGGCTCAGCAATGAAAATGCTGCCTTTTCATGGGAAAGACGGTGTTTACATTGCTACCAAATATTGTCTCTTGTGGCAGTCACTCAGATTCAGTGCATCCCTATTAGGAGATGCTGAATGGCATTTTCTGCGCATGCGCAATAGCCTCCCAATGCTTTCCTATGGGAAAGCATTAGAATGGCTGACGTCATCAAGATTGATTATCTCAGCCATAGAGGCGTAGCAAGATGAAGGATAAAAATGTTTAAAAGCCTTTTTACTCCATTTTGGGGGAGAAGGAGGGGGTCAAATATACATAATCGCTGATTATCTATATCAGAGGCATTCGATGTTATACCTAATTTGGTATAAAAACATCTCATTTTCCCACTATGTTCACCAGCTCCTAAGCAGAAGCTTCCAGGTGTTGTGAAAGTAGTGAACATTGTCCACTGGACCTCCGGTAAAAAGTCAATTCTAAAATGTTTTTACTACTTAAAATGGGCCAGGGCACTCCTGTCTCCACAACCACTACAGCGCTCTGTGGTGGTTCTTGTGTTGGAGTGTTCCTATGACAAAAATTTTATTATCTTTAATTTTCACAGAGTAGTCTCACAGACACAATACTGTTTAGTTTACAATGTCACAATAATTGCGATTTCTCCCAGCAGTGGACAGACTGTAGATTTCTATTTATCAGATTGTTTGAGAGCATTCCTCTACCACACTAATGCTGCTAAAACACTTTAACAGTGATGTTTTTATCTGGTAATCTTACTTCTGAAAACAGGAATGCATTTATTTTGGATGAGGGTATGTTTGAAACTAGCAGAAAGCTAAGTATTCCTTTCCTAGCTAAATACTTTGATGATATTTTTATAATATTGTATTTGTTTTGTACAATAGTAATAATGTAAAAAAACCACATATTTTTCAAGTTTGCATTATTAGCATAGTTGTGCACCTCCCTATATGTAGGTTTTATTTTTATTTACATGGTATCTGTTTATTTTGTAGGTGCCTAATGTGGAATGAACGTTCCATGTGTCGTAGGCATGAATGAAGTGCCCTGGCAGGAGCCCAGAGGAATGATGCATGCAAGCGGTGGGCAGGAATCCCTTGGGGTTGGAGTAGGGATTGCCCCACTTGGTGGAGCAGCATCAGGGCCACATAATCTACATGCCATGCCCCCCGGTGCTTCCAGTGCCCAGATGCCCCTGAGTGGCCGCTCTCAGGATGATGCCACAGTGGGATATTTCTTCCAAAGACAAGCGGGTGAACAGCTGAATGGCTACTCCAATAAACACCGCTGGCCTACAGGAGATAGCATAGATGCAGCGGTATGTAGCTCTCTATGGTTTGAAGTTCTTTTTGTAATTTCGTTGTTTCTTTTGGACATGGCAAATCTATTGTTTTGTATTTTCTTTTATCTCAGTTCTTATGAGCTATGTACCCAGACACTGCATTGTCTTCATGTTCCTCTAGAGTGTCTTTGTTTTGCCCCACAGCATATTTTCCATTCATTATTACAGAGAGGGGAACAAGTAACCTTTTCCCCTGCCTTTATGTTGGCAAAGCATCATAGGAATTTACGTTTTTCAAAGCTAGTGTACTATCTTTTGGGAACCCCTACATTAGACAAAAAAAAAAAAGGAATCATGGATTTTGACAGTTGGTAAACCTAATTGTTTAATTTAGTGTGCATTTGCATTGGTTTTTTTTTCTTCGCCTCCTGCTTGTAAAATTGTCTTTTCTTTTAGTCTCTTCCACCTCTACTGGTGAGCCTGTCCATGCATCACTATAAAGATAGTACACTGGTTAAATATCAGCAGTTTAAGGGTTACTATAGGCATCAAAACAACTTTAGCTTTATGAAGCAGTTTTGGTGTATAGGTCATGTCCCTGCAGTCTCGCTGCACTATTATTTGTCATTTAGTAATTAAATTACTTTGGTAATACAGCCCTAGTCAGCCCTAGTCACACCTCCATGCATGTGACTTGCACAGCCTTCCTAAACACTTCCTGAAATGGAACCTAGACTTTCTAGGTACCTTTATTGTACAATATGTTTAATTTAGAATTTATCTCCTCTCCTTTTAATAGCCTGCAGGAGTCTCCTGTGTGTGATTAAATTTCAATTTTCAGAACAGGAGATAAAAACTTCAAAAGCAAGTTAACATCTGATTGAACATGAAACCATTTTGAAGGTTTGGTTAGGACAGCGTAAACAGAAACAAACATGATTTAACAGGACATTCCACTGCCCAAAAACAAAATAAATAAAAATCACCATTTAGTACATATACCCTCAATGTAAACCTGCATGCATTTAATAATGCGTTTTTCATTGGAGTTATATCTAAAATAAGCTTGCTAAACCTGCAGTTCTCTTAAGAAGTCTTTGTAAGTCAGGTGCTCTGAGCAATTGCTCTCTCTTGAGGTCAGCTGCATTGAGCTAACAAAACCAGGAAGTAACATTACCTGGTGTCTGCTTGAAAGCCAAGGGGGTGTAACCAGATTAATTTATAAAAGTGTAAATTCCTATTGAAATCTGAACTTATTGCAAAATGAAAAAAAGAGGACAAACTATTCACACTCAAAGCTTTTCAACAAGCTAAAGTTGTTTAGGGGTCTGAAGTGACCCTTTTACTCCTAAATGGCAGAGAATTGAGCAGTGAGACTGCACTGGCATGATCTATACACCAAAACTACTTCTATTTCTTTAAGGTTAACAGTGTGGAAATGGAGTCAATCAAAATATAATAGAGGTGAAGCTTTGTCAAATTTCCCCCCTTATATAATGTATTGATTTTGTGTTTGGCAATTCTAATTACTGAAATCAAATAAGAAAATCTAAATTAACGAACAATGTAATGTGCTTCCTCCACTCGCCTATCTTTCTTACTGTAACATGTATAAATTAGAAATTTACAGCCATCACAATTTTTTTTTTTACTTTGAGAAAAATGACATAAAGTACTATTCATTCTTTAATATCTTAGCTGCCGTTAATCTTTCTGGTATACTGGATTTCAGGTTATGTAATGCCCTTTGACTTGGCATAAAGCAGACTGCTTATCATCGCTGTTGTACACATGTTGTTTCGTGATGCTTCATGTTCCCTCCCTTGTTTGCACTGCTGCTCTGTTATCACAAGGACTGCTGTTAAAGGAACTCTCCAAGCTGAAAGTTTTATGTGTGTATATGATGTGTGAATGTTAGATTGCAGTTAAATAAAAAATGGGACACTGGCCCAAAAAAAATCATCATCTCATCCCTGGATGTTCTCTCTCCGTTCCTTTTACTCACATCTATAGGCGGGTTAGCTGTAAAAACTGGATTTAGAATTGTGAAAAGTGTTTGTTTACCATTGCAACTGAAATGCTGATTCTGATAAATCTTCCCCTGAACAAGTGCACATATCTACTAAACAGTTTGTTTCTAGACTGATGTGCATATACAGCACTGAGTTATGAAAGAATTGACATTTTGACTTTCTCCTCATTTCCCATAAACAGAGCTGGAGGAGAAGTTCCCATGAAAATGAGTGGGCACTTTTTTCCACAGTTATAGTCATCACTGTTATAAAAAAATATCAATAGATAAACTTTTTTTGAGTCTTGTTAATGGAGCATGCAAAACAATATAACCCCTCCTCCGCTGCAGTGGTTATGGTGCTAGAAGTGCCGTGGCACTGTCCCACTGTATTTCGTCAATCTGTTGTACAACTTTCCTGGGTGCCAAAGGTAATGCATATATGATCCGGGCTTAAATTTTTCACGAGCCAAATGAAAATGTAGCTCTGGCGAGCCATGTTATGGCTTGCATTGACGAGTAATTTTGAAGGCCTAAGAAACAGCAAAATAATTTTTTATTTTTTTTTATTTTATTTTTTTCATTCTAAGGCACACTTTGAGGTGGAGTTGAGCTTTGTTTATTATGGTGATTGGAATGTCCCTTTAAACATTACTTATCAGTTACTTGGAGTTTCCCTTTGGGATAGGGTTTATTTGTTACTTTTTAGAATGTGAAAGTACTTTCCGTGGGGTACATTCAGGATAACTAGATATTACATTTGCTATATTTAATTTGGCAGAAAGTTATTCGTATTCAAAATCTAGAATCATTCTGGTAAGAAGCACTACAGGTATTCGTAAGTTACATTTTTATCTTTATATCTAGCCTCTTTTAGCACCTAAAGGTGGCTTCAATGTTTTTATTCATTTGTGTAATTTCCAGAGAAGTAACAGTTCCTCTTTAAGGGGGCCTTACTGCTGTAAGAGAACAAAGAGGGATCCTAAGCTCTGCCACACCTATCTTTCTTAGAAGAGACTGAGAATTTTCTGTGTCTGCCCTCCTAAACAAAAAAAGACAGAATTCCTACATGGTCCATTTGTGTGTGTTCTTGACAGACATGGTTAATGTGTTTTGTTAACAGTTTTTACCGGTCCAGCAATTCCCTTTGTTTTACTTGTACAATCTATAAGCAGCAAGTAGTTTGATCCCTTTATGAGGAAGCAATAATCTTTGCTTTCTGATAACACTAGCCCACGTCAAGAATAAAATTAAAAATGGGAAGCAGCTGTGCATTACGTGTCGACACGCCGTTCATAGACCTGCGTGCTCTCTGCAAGCTGTAACTAGCACCAAAATAAAAAGATGATGCTCCACATTGATTGTGCCTTTTGACTTTTATGTTTAATTACTGAAGACTTTTGTGTGAGAAAAACAATCGTCGGTAGTGCTAATCAATCATTAAGTACATGTCTTCACATGTAGGCTGCAATATTGTTTGACATTGGTTCTCTGCACTATTAGGAATGACCTCTTTTTTTTTTTTTTAAGATTTTTCTGGTTTCATCCCAATTTTGTAAAAGTAGATTTGGAAATTATAAGAATAAATGTTCTACATGCAACTATGTAGAAGTGAGCAAGATTTTAAATTTGCTTTTACCATATATACTAGTCTATAAGTAGAGTGCAGTTTTTTGACCAACAATTGTGAAATATGCTACGACTCGTGGATAAGTCAAAGGTACTGCATTCAAATGGAATTGTTCCCCTTCTGTTCGGTTACCGTACTGCATTTGAATGGAGTTGTTCTCCTTCCAAACAGACTCTGTGTGGTCCTCCTTGTTAACGCCTCGTTATCACTGACCACCCCTGGCTGTTAACCACAAACAAACATTTCCTGGGTGGCCATCATTCGTATATACGAACGCATGTGTTCAAACAATCTTGTCTCCCGAACGCAGACAGCGGTACATGGTTGTCGACAGTATGGATCTCTGAGTTGGATTCGCAAGCCCGCAAACCCCGCTGAAACTTGTACCACTGCCCGTTCGACTTCCCGAACAGCTAGGAGAACGGTGTTCAGGAGTCGAAATTCTATCGAAACTATCAGTGACCCGTGGCTATGTCAACTCTGCGTTTTAAAACGAAGTTTATGACTAAAATTTCTCGACTTATACATGAGTATATGCGGTAGGTTTTGGTACCGTTAATAACAAAAAAAAGTGATCTAACTAAACTGTCCTAACACGCTCAAGTTTCAGACTTAAGTGGAACTTTCTCAAATCTTAAAGTGGCTAAACTGTGTGTAGTATATAAAGCATAAAACAGGATGCAGTCATTTGAAGAGTAACAGGAAATGTAAAAATATGTTGATTTACAACAGCTAAAGAAATGGTACAGCATGTGAATCATGCGAAAGATGAAAGTTTTATTTAATTATAGATAATGTGTTAAAACATACAAACAAACCTACAACCACATAATTTACATGTAGATTTTGTTATTTTTTTAATAGGAATGGTCAGATGTCCAATGACCTAAAAAATGTGTTTAAAGCAAGCATGTCAAACTCGAAGTCTGGCACAGGCCGCATAAAAAAAAAATACCTTACATTTTCATAGAAACGTAGGGTTATTTTAAAAAGTACAGTATAAAATAACCCCCAGCACCCCCTCTACCACCCTGTGCCAAATCTGATCCTCCCGCTGACACAGACATATTCACTGACAGACAGAAACACACATACAGACACACTGACACACACATACTCACTGACAGACACACACACACACACATACTCACTGACAGACACCCACATACTTGCTGACATACACATACACACTCACAGACAGACAGACACACACATACACATACATACATACATACATACAGACACACAGACAGACACACACACATACTCACTGATAGACAGACACACTCACAGACAGACTTCCACCGTCCCTTCCTCCCCAGCCGGGTAAGTGTTAGTTAGCAGAGTAGGCACCTGCAATGTGGGGTAAGCACTATTCTCTGCACTATTAGGAATTACTCTAATGACTATTAGGAATGACTCTGCTTGGAACATTAGGCATGTACTCGCGGCTCGCCAGGCCGCAAAGATGGTCCTTGTGGGCCGTGAGTTTGACATGCTTGGTTTAGGAATACTATAGCGTTAAGAACACAAACAAGTATTGATAATTCAATCGTTTTAATCTACCCTCTTTGTGAGGGTTTGCAAGGCGTGTGGTTATCACAATGCCGCTCCACCTCCACCAGTGGGGAAACATTGGAAGGCAAGTGCTCATGCCTGCAGACCATCTGATTGAATAGTCGAGTTTAACTCAGTTATTGGGGCAGAAGCAGGGCCGGACTGGGGATACAAAGCAGCCCTGGAAAATAAATCTATGTCAGCCCCATAAGTCATTGCACCATATATTGCCATATGTAATATGTAAGGCAATGTCTTGCCACCCCAGATGGTTGAGTGATATATATATATACTTATTGCTTTTTCTAATATATAATATTGGTCCTTTCAGAGTAAAATGTTTAATTATACATTAAGCATACTCACATGCAGTGTTTACATTGCTTCCTAGTGACACCTCTAGTGACAGTCACTAGAGGTGCTTCTTGTGTCAGTGCTGCACAGTGCGATTGCACAGTGTGCAGCACCTACATTCAGGGCCTTTGCAGCCAATCCTATGGCAGAGCATTGGATTGGCTCAGATCATCAAGCTTGATGATCTCACCCAAAGAGGCAGGGCCAGTCGAGGGGAGACAAGCACGGCGTGGGGAGAAATAAAAAAGGTGAGTAAAAACACTTTTTAAATACACACAGACACACACATACACCATGACACAGACACACACTGACAGAATTACACATATTACCTGTGGGTGACCGGCTGGGTGGGCTAGTGGCGCTGGGGGAGGTCTGCTGGCGGAGGTCTGCTAGCGGCCGCTGGGGGAGCTGTCTCTGTCTCTGCTCCCCCTCCGTCGCGCACAGCTTAATGAGACCGGGGCCGAAATATGATGTCATATTCCAGCCCCAGTCTCATTAAGCTGCGCGCTGGGGAGCAGAGACCGAGACAGCTCCCCTAGCGGCCGCCAGCAGACCTCCCCCAGCCAGAGGCCGCCAGCAGACCCAGGTGTCTGCCTGGCGCCAGGTGCCGACAGCCCACCAGGAAATTTCCCGGTATCAAAGAGCGATCACATGGCCCCTATAGCTGGCTGTGGATCTGCCTGCAGGGGGACTGTTTGAGCTGTCACAGTCCCCCTGCTGGTGGAAAGTGTAAAAAAATATATTAATTAAACATGTTAAAATAAAATGTGTGTGTGTGTGTGTGTGTGTGTGTGTGTATATATATATATATATATATATATATGTAACGTCATATGTATTTTAATGTTAATATAAGCACATATTAGTATTAAAATACACTTAGACTGACGTTCCATATGTAATTTCATGTATTTTGTTAATATATATATTAACAAAATACATATCTGTCTATATATAAAATACAAATAACCGCAAATATATTTATATAGATAAATATATATAAATGATTACATAATTATACACGTAGAATCTAAATACATATATATGTATATATATTCTACGTGTATATGTAGATAATCTTTTAGTGCAATTATGTGATTTTATTAATTAAAATTAGATTGACATGCCTGACAACCCAGGCAGAAAGTGCAGAGAATTTAATTTAATTCGCAAGCACTATATTTAACCCTGTAACTTTCCAAGACACCATAAAACCTGTACACAGGGGGTACAGTTTTACTCGGGAGACTTCACTGAACACAAATATTAGTGTTTCAAAATGATAAATTGTATTACAACGATGATATTTTCAGTAAAAGTGAAGTTTTTTGCATTTTTCATACACGAACATCACTTTTACTGACGATATTATTGTTGTAATATGTTTTAGTGTTTTGAAACACTTATGTTTGTGTTCAGTGAAGTCTCCCAAGTATACCAGTACCCCCTATGTACAGGTTTTATGGTGTTTTGGAAAGTTAGAGAGTCAAATATATGTCTTGCATTTCATTTTTTTCACATTGAAATTGGCCAGTTTGATGTTGCTTTTGAGACTGTATGGTAGCCCAGGAATGAGAATTACCCCCATGATTGCATACCATTTGCAAAAGTAGACAACCCAAGGTATTTCAAATGAAGTATGTCCAGTCATTTTTAGTAGCAACTTAATCACAAACAGTGGCCAAATATTAGTTTTATATTAGTTTTTTGCCTTTTTCACACAAAAAGAAATATGAATGCTAACTTTGGCCAGTGTTTGTGACTGTGGCTACTGAAAAAAGACTGGACATATACCCCACTTGCAATACCTTGTGATGTGTATTTTTGCAAATGGTATGCCATCATGGGGGTAATTCTCATTCCTGGGCTACCACATGGTCTCAAAGGTAACATTACTAATATGGCAAATTTTAATGTGGAAGAAAATTAAAAATGGAATGTGCTATATTTGACCCTGTGACTTTCCAAAACACTGTAAAATCTGTTAATGGAGGTACTGTTTTACTCGTGAGACTTTGCTCAATACAAATATGTGCATTTTATTGCAGTAAAAGCAAACCGTATCATGACATTTACAGCTAAAATGTCAGGCAGAACTACAATTTTATTTTTTATTTTATTTTTTTTTTAATCTTAATTTCTCATTTTTTTAAAAATTTATTCATAATAGTTATGTTTCATATATGAATAGTTCATGAGAAGTTAAAGGCCTGTTTCTTCTGAATAAAATGATATATAATAAGTGTGGCCGCACTTAATATGAAAGAGGTGAACTATGGTTGAACAGACATATAGTGCAAATTCCAGTTTTTGTTTACGTTTTGTTTTGATCAGAACGTATACTATTGACTCTGTCCTGAAGGGGTTAAAAAGACAGGGGAATGGAACTCAGATCACTTCATCTCAGTGAAGCGGTGTGGGTGCCTAAAGAGTCCATTTAGAGGACCACTCTAGGCACCCAGACCACTTCAGCTTAATGAAGTGATCTGGGTGCCAGGTCCCTCTAGGATCAACACTTTTTTTTTTTTTTATAAACATAGTCTCATTGACAGCCGCTAGAGGCGTTTGCATGCTTCTCACCCTTGAAAATCACAGTGAGAAGACGCAAGCGTCCATAGGCAAGCATTATGAATGCTTTCCTATGAGACAGGCTGAATGCGCGCGCAGCTCCTGCCGTGTATGCGTATTCAGCCGAAGAGGAGGAGAGCTCCCTGCCCGGCACTGGAAAAAAAGGTAGGATTTAACCCTTTCCTCGCCATCGAGCCCGGCGGGAGTGGGACCCTGAGGGTGGGGGCACCCTCGGGGCACTATAGTGCCAGGAAAACGAGTATGTTTTCCTGGCACTATAGTGGTCCTTTAACTTTCATCAACAGCAGTTTGAAGCCATGTTCTGTCTAAGGCAGCACAGGTCCATTGTGTTTGCTAGTAAACACAATTGATTTGTTCCCATTGCCACGTGTTTTAGTATCTCTACTCTTTCAGGATTTTACTAAAATAATACATGAAATCTCATGTGTTTAGCTAGGACAGTGATTGCAGAGAGGTAGGATCCCTGGATATTGGGCAGTTGGCCAATTATTCAACATATCACGAAAGAAACAAATATGAAATTTTAATTATGTATAATACAAACATGAAACTATGCATCTGTTTATCTGGGTCAGTTGTTTGTTGTTGTTTTTTGGTCCAGTTGCATAGATGAGTTTGTTTGCAAATTAATTTTCATTCATTCCAGGTGATATTTAAAGGGTTGCTCAAACCTCCATCACCATTTCTGCTTGAACGCTGCCTGTACAGAGCGTCTGCACGTTTGTGCCATGGTCTAGTTGAATTCTGGCACACATGACTAAGGCAACCCAGAACAGCCTAATGTTAATTCTGTGCAAAGTCAATATTTTACAGGTTTTTCAATAAAAATAATGCGTTGGGGGCTGCGAGTTCCTAGTGACTAGTGCACTATATGCCATTATAAATATGACATAAAATAAGATGTAATGGAAAAAAAGGTTTATGTGAAAGTTATTGAGGTACACAATTGTTTAGGGTTTGACTGGGTTTTTTAAGGATGGGCGAGAGCTTTTTTCCCCTCCTTGAGTAGAAAAATGAAGTTTCTAAAACCTAATCTCTTGATTTTTTTCTTAATTCCAGGTGAGGCCCGCAGATGAGATGAATAATGATTTCCAGGCACTCGCATTAGAACATCGTGGAATGGGGGAGGTCAGTCATTTACTGCTCTTGATTCAATCTCAACTCCATCAAGATACTTTTTTGTTTTGGGGCTAATCTTACACGTCTATTCATATTGTTAGCTCAAGGCATACTCAAAAGAACTTTGTATATTTTGTGTTTCCGCTGTTTGCTGTAGACATTGGTCAGAATATCACAGTAGAAAAGCTTTTGTTTTTTATCAATTGAAAAGGTCACAGACAAGTTTTATTCACCACTGTCAAAAGCGATCATTAGTTTAACAGATTCTTTCTATAGTTTTTAGTTGTTTTGTTTGTTTTAATTTTGTGGCCAGTATTCGGTTCCCTGTTCTATGTAAACTACTGCACAATGACATGTTTTGCTCACACTTTCTACTTTTAAGATCTTGGCAGCTTATACGTGTTAAATATTGTTTGTTACCACTGTCATAGGTTTGAGTTTAGGGTTTTCAGCAAGGCTCTGAACTCCATTTGTTTTATTTATTTATTTTTGTTATTAACACTTAAAAGTACATGTTTAGAATATATTCAGTAGATGATACGAACATAATTAGTGTTCTTTGAATTATTGGAATGAACCAAGAATTGGATCACATCCAGGATTGCCCCAAACATGGCAGGTAGATTAATAGAGTATATTAGCGATGGGGTTAATTTCCATGGAGGGAGGGGGTCATTGGATCCCTGAAACGGTATACTACAAACACCATAACAAACATAACTTATTAAACAGTTTTATTGCTAGGATGCTATCCGTGCAAACATACCTTTCAAATATTTTATTACTTTTTTTTACTTGATTACTTGGAGAGAAAAAAAAACCTTACGTTGACTCTTTAGCTAGATCTATCTAGTCCAAAATCAGATCTACCTTTGAGTTTACGGACTGGTACCTTACCAGAGTGATAGCAGACCAACCCATTATAGTGTAAACAAATCAACTCCTTAAAGGACCACTAAGGTGCCAGGAAAACATACTCGTTTTCCTGGCTCTATAGGGTCCTTGGGTTCCCCTCACCCGCCGGCTCTAGGGTGAGGAAGGGGTTAGTCCCTTACCTTTTTTCAAGCGCCGGACTCCCTCGGCGCTGGGGACTCTCCTCCTCCTTTCCCCGTCATCGGCTGAATGTGCATGCGCGGCAAGAGCCACGCGCGCATTCAGCCAGTCTCATAGGAAAGCATTCTCACTGCTTTCCTATGGACTCTGGCGTCTTCTCTCTGTGAAAATCACAGTGAGATGCGCGGAAGCGCCTCTAGCGGCTGTGAATGAGACAGCCACTAGAGGCTGGATTAACCCATATGTAAACACAGCAGTTTCTCTGAAACTGCTATGTTTACAACAGAAAGGGTTAATCCTAGATGGACCTGGCACCCAGACCACTTCATTAAGCTGAAGTGGTCTGGGTGCCTATAGCGGTCCTTTAAAAATTGGCTGGTTGCCTCCCCTTTGTGCTGCTACAGTTTCATATATGTTGGATGACTACGTTGTTGTCTAGTGAACTAATTTTCATATGCCCACCCAGAATCCCCTGCAGTAGTGTAACATCACTGCTAAGTAGAGATTTGTGTGGGAAAAGCAAGTCTTATGGCTTGATCGGTGTGCAGATGTGTGTTAAACAGTGCATTTACTAATATATATATATGTGTGTGTGTGTATGTGTATACAGTGCATTTACTAATATATGTGTATATATATATATATATATATATATATATATAATATTTTTTTTTGACAATTCTGATCGACTTACATTAATAAGAGTCTGAAACTAACAAACTCAAACTCTCTGGTCGCTTAATTCAACCCCATTTACTGACATTATATGGAAAAACATGGCTTTGCCAGTGGTCTGAGCTGCACAGGGAGCTTATTTATCCCTTCCATGGTTGGCGGTTAGAGCGTTTCTCACACATGGACTTCGTGAAGGCTTTACATGAAATTAACAAAGGATCTGAAATCACCCAAGAGGGAACATTGAACAACCCTGAGTTAAAGTACTAGAAATGGTTGACTTGACTGTGCCCAGCCATGTTCCATGTACCCAGCTATTACCAGAACGCTTGACATGAGCAGGGACATTTTACCATAGAACTGTGGATGGATGCACTCTGGACACTTTTTTTTTTTTTTTTTTTTTTAAACCTCCAACCACTTTTTTGTTTGATTTTTCTTTTTACGGTTCTACTTGTGAAACCACCTATTGTAAAATAAGTGTAGCAAAGTGAACTTTACGTAGAATATCTTGCCCTCCTTTTCCAGTTTTGTTTCTATATTTGATAGTTTTCTTAAATTAGGCTTTTTAAGACAATATTTAGCCCATATTTTATGTCTCTTCTGTGTAAGTAAAATTGCTTTGTTGTTCTTCTCAAACAGCTTTTACCAGCCAAAAAATTTTGGGAACCAGACGATTCTGCAAAAGATGGACAGAAAGGGATGTTCCTTGCTGACGAATGGAGAGAAAACACATGGGGAGCATCACGTAAGTAACGTAACGATATATGTATTATATTACATTTATGTTATGTAAGTAGATCCAGTACTTATACAATTGGATCTACTGAATAATTAAAGTTTCTATGGAATCAGGAAATCCTATGTTCTGCGCTTCCTGGGTGTACGTGTCCGATTGTGTACATGTGCAGGCTTCCAATGAATCTGTGTTGACTCTTATGAACTTGTGAGAGTCAACACAGAGGATCCATGATGCTCTACTCCCGGGAAGACTTGTGGTGCTTGACGGAGGTAAATATTGAACAAATAATGACAAAGAATGTGGAGCTTAAGTAAAGCTCTAACTTTGCTCTCCTCCAGGTTGTACATAATTAAATTAATATCTATTTATGTATAACTTTGCAAATAAGGTCATTTAAAAAAAAACAGCGCAACCTGGTGGGGGAATATGGGGCATACCAATATATATTTTTTAATTTATTTTTTTAAAGTGACAAAGCTGCTCTAATAAACAAGATAAGCTAGATAAATAGTAAAGTAGTACTAGAGTAGTTCATAGATTAGAAGTAGAATATACAATAGATTAGAACTAGAAGAGCAGGTTAAAACCCGAAGAATAGCTCACAGAAAAGACCTACAAGAATGAAATCTAATGTATGTAATACACTTGGTAACTAAGATAATATCTTTCATTCTATCCCGAACATGGTCTGTGCCCTCATACAGGAAATACCCACAGACAAACAAAAGTCACATTTAAGTATAATCTATATGCTTGCTTTGTATTTAACTAGCACAATGTACAGATTACAAGTCTAGATTAACGCCAACACTATCTTGTTTTTAGACATTGGAGTCCCTTTGAAGTTATACTAACTTTTTCAATAGCACCCCCAGACTAGCACAATTGTCACAGGTCTTTTACGATTCATGCAGGCTTAAAAGTAAGTCTGTGTCTTGAGCCAGTCTGCCTTTACAAGCATTTAAAAATACAGCCTCAAAATATGATGACTAAACCCATCTTGGAGAAGGGTAACGGGGAGTAAACGTCCACCTCTAACACCAAACAACCAATAAGCAACTACACCCCTAGGACAGCTGGCTGACCACTCTCCCACGAAGCCAAATCAATAAAGTTAATGCCGAACGCGATCACCAAACGTAAAACATAGCCAGAAGAATCACACCTTACTTGTACCCAATACTGTACACATCTTGTTACAATATTTGTTATTGTTAACTTATTTATATATGTTATGTTATAACAACAAAATTAAAAAAACTGACAGACAAAGAATCTTTAAGCTAGCACACTAGGCTTCTGACAAAGCCAACCAACGCAATGTTAATATATTGTATATTACCTGTCAGAAGAAAAATAAAGAATAAAAAAAAAAAAAAAAATACAGCCTCAAATTTGATCACAGGAAAATTTAATTTCCTTGTACTGTTCTTGGTTGAATCGTAAATGTGATGTTATTTTTCACCTATACCACAACCTTGTTATCATTTTGTTAGAAAATATCTCTGGGTGCCTTAATGCATTTTGCTATTGAAGAATTAAAGCAAACTCCAGACCTCTAAAGCACTTTAGCTTGCTGAAAAGATTTATGGGTGAAGAGTGAGTCCTATTTTCTTCATTTTGGGAAAAGTACGGATTTTAATAGAAATTAACACTTTTATAAATTATACTGGTTACACCCCTCTGGCTTCTCCAGCAGACAACATGTTCTGTTACTTCCTGCTTTCGTTAGCTTTGTTGCACTGAACACAAGAGGCAGCAATTGCAAAAAAAAAAAGACTTCTCATTGAACTGCATTGGGAAGTCTTTGATTGGACAGCCACAGAAAGTCTGGGCGGGGTTAATAGGGGGAGGGCTTGCAAAGGCAGCCGACAAGAGATCTGCAGTTTTTGAAAGCCGTTTTTAGATATAACTCAAATAAAAAAATGCATAATTAAATGCATGCAAGTTTTCATTTGTGGTATGTCTACTAAACAGTGTTTTCAAAAAAATAGGAGTGTCCTCCATCCTCAAAATTTTACTGTACTAGCTGAAACTTTTATCTTGCCACGACAAGCCTGAAGTGTCCGAAATACAGTCACTAGGGGGTGAATTTCTACTCACCAGGGCTAAATTTTCACTGGCCAATTGCTAGTGACAAGTTTGACATTTTAAATCCTGCCATATGAGTTGCTTGTGAATTGTGTAAATTGTTTGACAGAGCTTGTTCTGTGTGTTGATTTTGTTGAATGTAGAATGTTTGGTAGGTGGCGAGCAATGGGTGTTCCATGGTTGATGTTTTGAGTGTACCATGTCATATTGTTACGGTTCAGTTGATTTATTGGTACTAGGCAATACTTAATGCCCAAGTGAAGACTGGATCCAATATTTTTCTTGTGGTAAATAATTTCAGACCATCTTTCTCAAGCTTTAGCCTCAACTTCACAATTAAAATGGTTTGAGCCCGACACCTCAGACAATTTTGTTTTGCATTTAAATTTTCTATAGCGCATATTCTGCAGTGGTTTACAATTATAGAAAGTGGTTAATATAGTGCACTTAGTACGTGCTCAAATGCAATTAATATCTATGAGAATTTGAGGTAGGTGTCTTGCTCAAGTACTCTTACTGGTGAGGTGACTGTGACACTTACAGGATGACTGTCCTGTCAGATCCACTGAGTATGTGATTTGTCTTGCAGACCATTCCATGTCCCAGCCTATTATGGTACAGAGAAGACCTGGGCAAAGCTTTCATGGAAACCACGATGTAAACTCTGTCCTGTCCCCTCGCTCAGAAAGTGGAGGCCTTGGAGTGAGCATGGTAGAATATGTTTTGAGTTCCTCACCAGCTGACAAACTTGACCCACGATTCAGAAAAGGAGCTTATGTAAGTGACCTTAACAATCGGAATCCTAAATGGTGGTCCTGTTGTAGTTGTCGTGGAGATCTATATAATATGTGAAATAGAACAGACCTCATTATCTTAATGCCACCTAAATAACAATGTTTTGAGTTGTTTTATTATTATTTTTTTGCTCTTGTTTTAATATTACATTTGTTTGCTATTATTTACATTATTTGCTTTAAGAAGACATAGACAATTCACTAAACTCTACATTTTTGCAAATTAAATCCAATTGAAAAAACGGAGACGAAAAAATATTCCAACTTTTTGCCTCAGTTTTTCCATTCAGATTTAAAATGGCTTTTTCGCCTCAAAATTACCTTTCTCCTAATGTTTCCTCTTCTCTTCCTCTTTTATAATCTTTTCTTCCTTTTTGATCTATTTCTCTTTAAAACATAAGACAGATTAAGGACTACTTTGTCTTCTGTATTTTTCCTACTCCTGACAGTTGTGATAAAACGATGGAGCTTAATGCAAGCGCCCCCTTCCTTTGTCAAGCTAACAAAGGGTGAAGCTTGCCTTAAACTCCATCTTTTCTCCACCCAATGCTAAGATTGACAAACGTAGGAAAAATACATAGGACAAAGCAGTGTGTACTTTGTCTTATGCTTTAAAGAGAATTAGTTTAGAAATGAAGAAAAGAACAGATTATGAAAGTGGACACTATCAGAAAGTTTAGTGAATAAACCTGCGTGTTTCACTCTCTTCCCCCCCCTCCAATAACCCATAATGAGTGTAAGTGCAGGCTGAGGGTAATGCGTGTGTTGGCTGCGTGCAATATGTTCAGTGTGTGTTGGGTATTTGGTGTACACCTGCTGTGCATAGTGTGTAATAAGCCCCAGTTTGTTTCTCCCTGCAAACCCCAATACTGTATCTGCCATATCCTTTCCACTAGTGTCTCTGCTCCTACTCACTCTCATTAGTGTCTCAGCCTTAATTCTCCAATTAGTATTTCTTCTCCATATTGCTCCTCCCAGTCTCCTCCAGCCAGTGAGGGAGCAGACATGCCATATATGCCGCACCCTGCTCAAAGCCTCTGGCATGAAGTGGAGCCCTAGGCTGGACAAAGGGAACAACAGCAGCTTACAAAGTATGGCGGGCCTCCGAGAATTTCAGGCACTCTGCCAGCCCTTTGGAACGTGAGGGCACATGCTCCCCGTAGCAGCCCTGCTGCTTGCCCATGGAAGGTTAAAGGCAGATTAAAACTGCCTGCCTGGAACTATACAGGGAGTGCAGAATTATTAGGCAAATGAGTATTTTGACCACATCATCCTCTTTATGCATGTTGTCTTACTCCAAGCTGTATAGGCTCGAAAGCCTACTACCAATTAAGCATATTAGGTGATGTGCATCTCTGTAATGAGAAGGGGTGTGGTCTAATGACATCAACACCCTATATCAGGTGTGCATAATTATTAGGCAACTTCCTTTCCTTTGGCAAAATGGGTCAAAAGAAGGACTTGACAGGCTCAGAAAAGTCAAAAATAGTGAGATATCTTGCAGAGGGATGCAGCACTCTTAAAATTGCAAAGCTTCTGAAGCGTGATCATCGAACAATCAAGCGTTTCATTCAAAATAGTCAACAGGGTCGCAAGAAGCGTGTGGAAAAACCAAGGCGCAAAATAACTGCCCATGAACTGAGAAAAGTCAAGCGTGCAGCTGCCACGATGCCACTTGCCACCAGTTTGGCCATATTTCAGAGCTGCAACATCACTGGAGTGCCCAAAAGCACAAGGTGTGCAATACTCAGAGACATGGCCAAGGTAAGAAAGGCTGAAAGACGACCACCACTGAACAAGACACACAAGCTGAAACGTCAAGACTGGGCCAAGAAATATCTCAAGACTGATTTTTCTAAGGTTTTATGGACTGATGAAATGAGAGTGAGTCTTGATGGGCCAGATGGATGGGCCCGTGGCTGGATTGGTAAAGGGCAGAGAGCTCCAGTCCGACTCAGACGCCAGCAAGGTGGAGGTGGAGTACTGGTTTGGGCTGGTATCATCAAAGATGAGCTTGTGGGGCCTTTTCGGGTTGAGGATGGAGTCAAGCTCAACTCCCAGTCCTACTGCCAGTTCCTGGAAGACACCTTCTTCAAGCAGTGGTACAGGAAGAAGTCTGCATCCTTCAAGAAAACATGATTTTCATGCAGGACAATGCTCCATCACACGCGTCCAAGTACTCCACAGCGTGGCTGGCAAGAAAGGGTATAAAAGAAGAAAATCTAATGACATGGCCTCCTTGTTCACCTGATCTGAACCCCATTGAGAACCTGTGGTCCATCATCAAATGTGAGATTTACAAGGAGGGAAAACAGTACACCTCTCTGAACAGTGTCTGGGAGGCTGTGGTTGCTGCTGCACGCAATGTTGATGGTGAACAGATCAAAACACTGACAGAATCCATGGATGGCAGGCTTTTGAGTGTCCTTGCAAAGAAAGGTGGCTATATTGGTCACTGATTTGTTTTTGTTTTGTTTTTGAATGTCAGAAATGTATATTTGTGAATGTTGAGATGTTATATTGGTTTCACTGGTAATAATAAATAATTGAAATGGGTATATATTTGTTTTTTGTTAAGTTGCCTAATAATTATGCACAGTAATAGTCACCTGCACACACAGATATCCCCCTAACATAGCTATAACTAAAACAAAACTAAAAACTACTTCCAAAAATATTCAGCTTTGATATTAATGAGTTTTTTGGGTTCATTGAGAACATGGTTGTTGTTCAATAATAAAATTAATCCTCAAAAATACAACTTGCCTAATAATTCTGCACTCCCTGTATGTCCCGTGGGTTGAGCTATAGGAAATCCACATCCCCAGTGTCATAAGTTAATAGAAACCATATCCTATTGGTTTGTTAAACCGCTTTGTCTCAGGCACCTGTAGTCCACCCCTTCCACGTTACCAAGTACAATTTTGTCAAATCTTGACAGCAGTGATAGTCCGAGAGCACTGGAATGTGAAAACATTTTTATTTAACCAACAGAACACCAAAAACATATGTTTATACATCCATTTTTTAATTGGTATCTTTAGGGTGCTAGAGATGATATTGAGGGACCAGAAAAAGGAGAGCAAAAAGGAAAAGCTTCTCCCTTCGAGGAGGAAAACAAACGGGATCTTATATCTGCAGATGGTGATGATGTCTCGAAGTTAAATGGCAGAGTCCTGCCCAATGGGATTGATACTGACTGCAAAGATTTCAAGTGAGTGCATTTTGAATTAAATAAAAACATATCTGTTAATGTAAAATTCATCCTGTGTCCACACTTTCACCTCCAACAAGAATCTCTGAGGAAGTTCCCCCCTTGCCCTTTTACAATTCCCATTGGTTTTAGTCTTTGCAAATACAATGACCAATTATCTGCCTTTAGAGGCATACTAACCAAGTAAGGTTTTCTACAGCGTTCTAATGCAGTGTTGTCCCAATGCAAATTACAGGTTGCCCTTAGAGCTCTGTCACGCCTACTTATTCTACATCATGTAACTGTAACTTCTGTTAAAAAAATTATAAATTAACCTGATCATCTTTTCTAGATACATTGATCTTTATCTTTTATTTAACTTTATCTTCCTTTCATTAGCCTGTAGTCCAAATTTTTTTTCCTTCTTCTATTTGTTCAATGAAGTTGTTATGGTACCTGGAAGTCTTGGGCGTTGTCTAACCTTTAAGGGGGTAAAATTCAACCCCCTTTCCCCCTCAGTCTTCAGGCTCAATGTAGAAGCTTCGGACTGGGCACTGGGTGATAGACCATCTTTGTTTATTGTGTTTTAGTTTTTTGGGGGTGGGGGAGGGTCTGGATTTGTTAATGTGTTTTTGTATTCAAGGACATAATTGCTTGAATTTTAAACACTTTTTTCTTAATAGGCCATAGAGTTTGCAAAATACTTGATCCAAACGTAATTTTTTTGTACGTTGTATGTCTATAAATTGTGCTTAGCTCTTGTTTGACATGTACTTGGTTTTTTTTTTGTTTTGTTTTTTTTTCTTCTATGTGCAAAGTCGCACTCCTGGAAGCCGTCAAGCTTCTCCCACAGAGATCACTGAGAGAATTGGCCCAAATTCTGTTGTCGATGGCCTAGGACAACTTCAAAACCCTATGAGCAACAAGCCACTGACAGATGAATTTGCCAGTCCTGAAAGCCAAAATATAGATGGCATTGAACATGTGGGCCTTGATTCATTGCAGTTTGATTATCCGGGCAATCAGCTTCAAATGGATTCAACAGGAGGTGGCGTTGGACTGTTTGACTACAATACTCAGCAGCAGGTACTGTTTTTGCTTTCAAAAGTGGATTGTTTTATTGTGAATTAATCATAGTGATATAAAGAAATCGCCTTACCTGTCACTATTTGCCTTTTTAAAAACAATTTTTTTTATACATTTGTATTGAAGACTTGGCAAATGACATCATAATCTAGTTCAGTCAAGGCAAAGCCAGAACCAACTTTGCTGACGAAGAAGATTCTTCTGTTTGTGCTTTCCCTGTGCTGTCTGCCAGGTGCAAAGCACAACAATTGACAGGGATATTAAAAATCTGACAAAAAATAAGTGACCGCTCCCTTTTAGTATTCTAGCTCTAAAAAGGTTATTTTATTTTTTTTGCTTTTTGCATTTTATACGGACCACATATCGGTAACTAATTCTCTTCAGTCCGGTCTTTTCCAGAAGTCTAATCTGTCTCCTAAAGCGGCAGGGTAATTTTCACACTACAGTAAATAGAAGCACATTGGGAACATCCATGTGAGCAAGGTTCCTCTTCTGGCTGACTAGTAAACAAACCTTGATTTACTCACTGATGAAACCGATCAGCTGCTCTGGATATAATATGTGACAGATTGGTCAGCATTTTTAACGCATTGTGGTTTGATAGATTTCGTGATTGCATTCTGGTAGTGAGGGACTGTGTTTGGGGAGGTGGGCTTATGGTGCAGCATTCTACAAAACATTTTATTTTTTTTTATGCAAAAACTATAAAGACTTGAGGATGCAAAAAAATACAACATATTAATGAAGCCAAAACCTATCAAATGCATTAAAGTTGCATTAGTTCCTGGAATGTCCCGTTAAGGCTGAAATCTGTTGTACCTGATGTTTTTCCCCAGTAAATTCCATTGTTAATGATTGATTTCAGCTTGTATAGTGAAGAGTTATTTTTATTCGGTTAATGTTGAGTAACTTTATTTCTGATGTTCTACAGATGTTCCAGCAGAGGCCCAATGCTCTAACTGTACAGCAGCTAACAGCAGCCCAGCAGCAGCAACAGCAGCAACAATATGCACTCGCAGCGGCGCAGCAGTCTCATCTTGGTAAGAATTTAGCAAATACCCTGTTATTGGTAAAACACTTAAATTTCCTTTTTATGGGATCCTTAAAAATAACGGTGTATGAAATTGAAAAGTTCAATTTTGGAGCAAATCTGCTGTGCAGATAGGATGGATTTGCACTTGACTATGTAAAAGTGTAGTTTCCGTGTTATGAGTGCGTCTGAAGAGGGGTGGGTTTTGAATGCCAGGTAGAACACTGCTACAAACCATTTGATTTTATAGTTTGATGGTGCCCTTAGATTTATAACACCATAAGGTTGCCCTTTAAAACATTATTTCATTGTAATAATGGATTGTGTAGGCAAATCCAACATGTTATATAAATGTTATAATTATATTTTAAATACTGCTTAAAGGGACACTCCTGGCACCAAAACAACTTCATCTAAATTGTTATGGTGCCAGGAGGCCTCTGGAGGCACTCTTACATCATGAGGGTTAAACAGTTCTCAAACTGTTTAACCACAAAACCACATGCTCTAAACTGGCTTGCAAAAGGTTCTTAGCCAAAAAAACACTCTTAGCCAAACAGCAGCCTCCCTACCCGGCAACACTCTAAACTTCATGAATCTGAAAATTAATTTTTTGCAATAACCACACCAGAGGTGGAGTGGAGATTGGTGCTGGAGACAATTTTGGGGTTAAACCATTCAAGAATGGTTTAATTATTTGAGGTCAGAGTGCCTCCTGGGTCAAATATTTTTCTAGGATCACGCTAAATCTACCATCTGTTAATGAGGCAGCCATTGTCCTTTTGTTGTTGTTAGATTTTTTGTTTTTTTTAATTTAGCTTTTCTTGTAACATCAGTGAAATGGATTTTTACTCTGTGAAATGTGACCATCAGAATTCTGTTTTGTTGTTGATTTGAATATATATTTTTTAGATGCCAGGTGTTGGTATGTCTGACAGTTTGGCATGGGTTTGAAGAGTCAGGATTAAAAATGCTTAATCCAAAACTAGAGTGATAAAAGCAACACCTACATTAGCCTGCACATAAGAGTGGTAGCAAGCTAAATATTTGAAATGGTTTATTTTCTTTACAGCAGGTATGTTTTCAGCAGGCCTTGCTCCAGCTGCCTTTATGCCAAATCCTTACATCATCAGCACCGCTCATCCGGGAACTGATCCTTATACAGCCGCAGGTCTGGCTGCTGCAGCAACATTAGCAGGTTTGTGGTATACTGAAAAATTCCATCTGCGTTCTAAAGGGAATCTGTCAACCACACAATATCTATTCGCTAAACACTGTGATGGCATAATGTATGTGACGTATATAGATTAGAAGACTTCCTCCACAAACTCCACAATTCCTAGTCTGTTTACATACGGATTATTTAGAGATTACTTTTTATACTCTTTAAAGTATAGACATAACTTTAATTCTTTTGTGTTTCAATATACCTAGTACAAGTAGTTTAGTTAAAGGAACACTATAAGGTTAGGAACACAAACATGTCAAAACCACCATCGAGCCCCCCTGGCATCTCTTGTCTCCCTAAATATAGTAAAATCTTACTTGTATTTTACTCGTATTCAAGTCTGCAGCTGCTGCCTCTGCCCCTGTTCTGTTTTCTTGGCTGACATCATCAAAAGGGATTATGTGAGCCAATCACAATGCTTTCCCATTGGATTGGCTGAGACTGTAAAGGAGGCATATCAGAAGCAGAGCCAGCACAAGTCAAATACCGCCATGGCCAATCAGCATCTCCTCATAGAAATTTAATTGAATCAGTGCATCTCTATGAGGAAAGTTCAATGTCTGCATGCAGAGGGTGGAGACACTGAATGTCCGTGCTGCTCACTATGCAGCACTGCCCCAGGAAGCACTTCTAGTAGCCATATAATGAGTGCCCAGTGGAGTTATCACTGGGCTGTAATGTAAACACTGCATTTTCTCTGCGAGAAAAAAAAAAGTGTTTTCTGCAAAAAGCCTAAAGGGAATAATTCTACTCACCAAAATAAATGCTGTAGCTGTAGCTGTTTTGGTGACTATAGTGTCCCTTTAATACCATGCTGAATAAATCTCACAAAGCTTACCAGAAATGACTGTATTGCTCAAAGAATGATACAGACAATCCCTTCTTTATATTAAACAGAGTGTAGACAATCCATTTACCGTATATACTCGAATATAAGTCGAGACCCCTAATTTTACCCCAAAAAACTGGGAAAACTTATTGACTCGAGTATAAGACTAGGGTGGGAAATGCAGCAGCTACTGGTAAATTTCTAAATAAAATTAGATCCCCAAATAATTATTTTAATTGAATATTTATTTACAGTGTGTGTATATAATGAATGCAGTGTATGTGTGTGTATATAATGCAGAGTGTATGTGTGTGTGTATGAATGCAGTGTGTGTGTGTGTGTGTGTGTATATATAATGCAGTGTGTGTATGTAATGCAGAGTATGTAACCTTGGTGGGGGAGTGGACATTTAAAAAAAAATAAAAAATTTTTTTATTATTTTAATATTACATTTTTGTTTAAAATATTTTTAATATTATGTATATTTTTTGTCCCCCCTCCATGCTTGTTAACTGGCCAGGGAGGGGGGTTATAGTATTCCCTGGTGGTCCAGTGGTGTGTACTGTGCAGGAGGGGGGCTGGCAGCGAGCTGTAACTTACCTTTCCTGCAGCTCCTGTCAGCTCCCTTCTCCTGCATTCCGGTCAGCTCCACTGTAAGTCTTGTGGGTATGCGTGCCACGCGGAGCTGAACGGAGCAGAGGAGAAGGGAGCTGACTGGAGCTGCTGTAAAGGTAGGTAACAGCTCGCTGCCAGTTCCCAACAGGACCGCCGTAATGAGCCCGGCGGTCCTGGTCTGTATTATGGCAATGTAAGTTGCCATAATACAGACACTGACTCGAGTATAAGTCGAGTGGGGGGGTTTTCAGCACAAAAAATGTGCCGAAAAACTCGACTTATGCTCGAGTATATACGGTATATAGATTTTAGTTTGGCTATATTTTCCTTAATTATTTTTTTGTTTTTTTAGGTCCAACAGTCGTTCCTCCACAATATTATGGCGTTCCTTGGGGAGTGTATCCAGCAGGTTTATTTCAGCAGCAAGCAGCAGCAGTTGCTGCGTCAGCCACAAATGGAAATAACCAGCAAGCAGCATCACAGGCTACACAGGGACAGCAGCAGGTATTCAAGATGATAGGTTTGCAATAACCGTAAATCCTCTTCTCCTGTACGTTTGGCCATTACCCATAATGGGGCCTGCCAGTCTGACGCTTGCAGAGGGTAACAAACACTTCCATTCCAGCTGCAAGTTTTCCAGCTCCACAAGAAACTAAAAAGTTTAGGTGCCATAAATGCCCTCTATATTATCTTATCAAGTTCTATCGTGGAACTTGTAATATAAATACACTGAGTTCAATAACAAAGAGACAATGGGAATGTTTTACAAAGTGCGTTAGTTATTTTTATTTTTATTAGCAGTAACAGAATTGTAGAGGTTTTTTTCAGCTTTCCATTTCGTAAGAGCTGCTGCTTGGGATTCTCATCCTGGAAAGGAAGATGGCACAAACTGGAAATGCTATAAAAGTTGTTTAGAATTTCTGTTTATGTTGGTGGTTTGTTTCATTTCAGACTGAAGGTTATGGTGGCAGACTGCAAAGCACAGCAATCTATTCAGCAATGTTCTATCCACAGGTTATGCGTGCTGCCGCTAATCAGCGCCCGCTCACACCAAATCAGGGCCAACAAGGACAGCAGGCAGAGTCCCTTGCTGCAGCTGCAAACTCTGCTATGGCTTTCGGACAAGGCCTTGCCACTACCAACATGTCAGGTAGGTGGATTGTGCTACAAAGATTGGTTGGCTTTTATCTGTTCCCGGATATAGAAAAGTAATTCTTCTAATCTCTCATTATAAATAATGTAGTCAAAAATCAGAAATGACCATCGATGAAACAATTGACAAACTATATAGTTACATACTGGTCACTGGTTATAATCCTACTTATTCTTGTTAGGATTGGTTCACTTTTACATTCTCTACCCTTGAACAAGGTTTTTTTTTTTTGTTTGTTTTTTTTTAAATGAGAAACTTTGACGAAACAAGCTGAAATGTTTATAGTTCTTAAAGTAAATATTTTACTGTAGCAGAAGGAAAGTATGTTTATTATAACTTTTAAAGATCTGTATCAGAACCAAAGTGTGTCTGTCTGAGTTTCAATTCAGTCAAGACATGTGTTTGTCCAATGGACACGTCTGTGTTTTCTTTGATGTGTGTTGAATACTGCTGTTATAATTGCCTAGGCTATCAAGTACTCACACCCACGGCCTACTACGATCAGACTGGTGCATTGGTGATGGGTCCTGGAGCAAGAGCTGGACTTGCCGCCCAAGTGCGATTAGTGGCATCTGCACCCGTTCTCATCAGTCCTGCAGCAGCACAAGCAGGTTTGTTTCTGAAGAGAATAATGTGTTTCCTGTAATAATTATATTCTGTATATCACCACGTGCTCTTTGTAATTCTACTCTGCTGGAAAAGGGAAATAGTCATGTCAAATCCTGGGCAATATAAAATACAGTCAAGCCCAATAATCTTTCTCTTTTATAAATAAAAAAAAAAAAAGTCATCATTCACAGCACAGAATGCAGGCAGGGTTAAATTGCTCCATAATAGTGCATATAGAACCGTTCTATTATATTAGACATGTCTTAAAATAGTGAGCTTTGTAGATCGGTAGTCACCCAGTAGCTTGAATATAGTGCAATAAACCATATTGAATATAGTCAAAATCCACAAATTTTGTATAGTAGGACATTAAACTTATTTTAGATTTTTTTTTTTTTTTGCAGTTTTAATATATGTTGGCTAATCCGTCTTATACCTTATACACGTTTTTCTGCACAGAAAAAATGGGAATTGGGGGCACATCCAGAACATCAATTTCCAAGCAGTGGTGCTGCCATAAAGACCAAAACATTTACAAAATACAGTTAAAGGAACAGCGCACACACAATTATATAACTTTGCTTAAAATCACCTACAGAAAATGAGGAAAAAAGCTCCTCCAGAGGCAGGGGAAGCTAATTCCATCAAAACCAATATCCCTTAGTTAGAGCAGTACAGATATAATGCTGTAATAAAGTATATAGCACACAAAAAATTATAATAAACTTTTATTAGAATAGAAAAATATCTAAAAACTAATAAAAACCTAATAAAAACACTGTATACACAGTGCTGGATTGCTAGACACCAATTAGTGTGGATAGATTAGAACTAATCATACACAGTGCAACATAGTAACAATATACTGTCCAAAAATGTGACAAAGTATATTCTATTGAGAGAAAGTTGCAAAGTAAAAAGTAATGCTAGGTCTAAACAAAAGAGATATATAAGAATATCCCTATGAATAGCAATCACAGAGTAGAATCAGCTATATTCCAGCATCCCCAAATATAAAATAGAATGGAGTGTCTAATATCTAATTGGGTGACAAAAAAATCTCTCTAGAAAAAATACATACTAGTCCCTCTAATTCCAATCGGAATACTGAGATAACAAAATCTCATAAATATACTAAACCAGGGCTTTGGAAGATGGGTAAATCGAAAGGACAGTGAGAGGAAAAATTATGAAATGAAAGTAGGAAATAGAAGAAAAACTATTGCTATAGAGAGTATAAAGGTGCATGAAGCTGTAAAATAAATAAAGGATTCAGTCGGCAAAAGAATCCCCTAATAAAGCGCAGCACGCACCAAAAATAGCTGAAAATCAAAAGGTGTATATTGAAGTCCGACGCGCGTTTCGGCGAGGAAAACGCCTTTCTCAAGGGCATGAGCAGACAAAAAGTGTCTGACTCCACATTCCTTTTAAAAGATCTAGTGCCCAAACATGTATCCAATGGGGTGTAATCTGAAGCTCCCCACCAATAGGGATCGAAGGTGGGAGGACCTAACAGCATAGCCGCCCTTTAACTTTGTGCTGTTCCTTTAACTGTGTTCTGTATCAGTTCTAAACATATTTATTTGCAGCACGTCAGATAATGTGTTCTAACCACAAAAGACAGATAAACTAATACAGTTAAAATGCTTTTGTAAACAAAATTGTCCTGTTCTTTACATAATAAAATTATTAAGTTACTTTGGTCTCATTTTAAAATGAATGTTGGAAGAAAAAAAAGGAGACTGTTAATATCATCTACTTCTTGCTTTTCCTCAAACATAAAGTACACTGCGCATTACCTTAGATCTAACTTACAAACCTGGACATATGTTCACAAAAATTCCAGCAGGTTTGGTGTAATTGGCAATAAGTCTTGTGTATACGTTTTCTTGTCTTTTTCCATTGAAAAGTTTTTTTGTATTCACTCTGTGACATTGTGGCTCAATACCTTTTGTTTTACAGCTGCTGCAGCATCGGCTTCTGGTGCTAACAGCCTTACAGGAGCCACAAACAATATCTTCCGACCTATGAGCCAGCAGCAGCAGCAACAGCAACAGCAGCAGCAGCAGAATGCCAATCTCCACTCCAACTCTTTCTATGGGAACAATGCCCTGACTAACAACAGTCAGAGCAGCTCCCTGTTCTCGCATGGGCAGGGGCAGCCTGGAAATGGGTCTCATGGATTTGGCAGCAACAACTCCTTGGGTGCAGCCATTGGATCTGCTTTTGGGGGATTTAATTCATCAGGTATACTACCAAACCAGTAAGCTGAACTAGACAAATCTAAATTGGAGTTAAGAACTTACCGTTTCATTTCCAAAGAGTGTGATTTCCTGCAAAAACCCATACTTATTCCCTCTTCTTTCATTCCTTTTTCTTTCTGAGCACATTTGTCCTCAAAGTAGTATGTATCCTCTCAGTCCCCTTTGGTTTGCCATTGGCGAGTTCTGTTTGATATTGACAAGGCAGCTTTCCCCCCTATCATCTGACTAAATTTTAAACCGCATATTAAACTGACTATTTACTTCTTACGTGATTATGTGCTTTCTCATGCTACTTCCAGCGTCTGGTTTTTGAGGTAGCCATTTTATTTGCAAATAAGTTTAAGTACCATAGCAAATATGGTGCAAGGAATCCCCTTAGTGCTGTCCCTCTGTTGGCTATTTTTGAATGGTTAGGCACTTACCTGTTTTCCTTACAGGGTCCCCTGGCAACATAACCACTGCAGAGCTCTATATTGACTATGGTGCTTAAAGGGGCACTTTAAACAAGTACATTTCACTATGTAGTAGATACCCCAAATGTCTACATATGCATGCATTTTTCATGCATGTCTATTGGGGCATATCATAAGAGCTTGCAAAAGTTGCTGTTTTTCACTGAATGAGAATAACAGTCTCTTCATTGGGAAATAGCCTATTAGAGGTTTCTCTTCTTTCCTCGAATGGCATTTATTTATTTAAAGGGCACTTGTCAAGCCTCAAACAACTTAAGCACATTAGATTGAGCATAAGATATTATCTATACATTATGCTTGCAGTTTTAAAAATAGTTTTTTCTCTCACCTGTTAATAAATGCCTCTGTGTGCCAAGGGAGAACAGAAAAGACCTCCCACAGAAGGTCCCTCTGCTCTCCTCATTTAGCAACCACAGCACATGCTCTGTGGTTGCCATGGAAACTCCTTAGCCAGTGCTAGAAGTATAGGAATGGAGTGGCATGACATCCCTCTGTTCACAGGGTGGCAACGATGAGGAGGTTTGCCCTGCTTGGGGATGCGTTTCAAGCAGGGCAAATCAAAGAAGAGGAGCGGAGGACAGCCAGGATGTAGGTGTTAGAAGAAGAGTAACATCCACCAGGCCATGCAGCAACGGAGGAAGTCAATCCATCTCTATGAAGTGATGCTGATTGGCCAACTCTGCGTTTTGCCGTGCGTGCGTATTACCCTCCCTATACTTTCCTTCGGCAAAGCATTTGATTTGCTGAGATCATCAATTCTGATGATCTCAGCCAAGGAGGCGGATCTGGGGCGGCAATTTTTTTTTTTTTTTTGTGTTAACATCTGTTTTAAGTGGGGTAAGGAGGGGCCGGTACCTAAATAGCATTTTTAACACTAGGGGGGTCAGGAATACTAACATGAGTGTTCCTTTAAGAGGTTCACTTTAACACACATATATTGCGATAGAATAATTTTTGGCTTCTGCTTCTCATGGCAACAGAGATGGCCCAACTTTTCATTAGCTTTTTGGGGGCAATAATCAGTTTAGACGTCTGCCAGATCGGCCATTATTTTATTAGATAACTACCTTTGCATGCAACAGTTAGACATACTGTTCTTTTCTGCTTAATTTGAAGGATCACTATAGTGTCAGGAAAACAAACTCGTTTTCCTGACCCTATATAGCCCTTAGGGCCCCCCTCCCACCAGGTTGAAGGGGTTAAAACCCCTTCAGCTACTTACTTTAATCCAGCACCTGGCTTCCTCGGCGCTGGTGACCTCTCCTCCCCCTCCGACGTCAGCTCCCGAGTGGAGTGGAATGTGCATGCGCGGCAAGCGCGCCATAGAAAAGCATTTCTCAATGCTTTCCTATGGACATTCTGCATGCTGAATGCAATTTTCACATTCAGCGTCGCAGAGATTAACCCTGCTATGTAAACATAGCTCGTTCTCTAAAACTACTATGTTTACATCTGAAGGGTTAAAACCTGGGGGACCTGCCACCCAGACCACTTCATTGAGCTGAAGTGGTCTGGGTGACTATAGTGGTCCTTTAATTTCAGTTTCTTTGTTTTTCTTTGTTGTTAATATTTGACATAGAGATTTATTTATACCAAAGTATAACATTGAATGACCTGATGTAAATAATCAGTGGTTGTATTTGTTTGACAGTAGTCTTGTGAACCAGTCTATATATTTTTTTTAGATATATTTTTCTTTAGCCATGCCCTTGTAATGTTTTATTTTAACCAAGGCGAAAGAAAACCCATATGTTACTTGACAGTTAGACGTTTTAAAGAATATGTAGTTGTTGTTGGGGGGAGTATTTTTCCTCCCATTACCTTGTGATGAAATTCTGTGCCAGGCATATGCCTTGGTATGTTAGACTCAAACAGGCACGGCTTGTTTTGTTTATCTTCACACGTCTAATCTATGGTTCTAGCTGCATGAACATATTTATAAGCTTGTGCCATAGGTTAGATGTAGATGGGTGGAGACTAGTGATGTCCCGAACGGTTCGCCGAACAGTTCGCCACGGACTCATCATTGAGTAAACTTTGACCCTGTACCTCACAGTCAGCAGACACATTCCAGCCAATCAGCAGCAGACCCTCCCTCCCACCTCCTGGACAGCATCCATTTTACATTCATTGTGAAGCTGCATTCTTAGTGAGCTGTCCAGGAGGTGGGAGGGTGTGGGAGGGAGGGTCTGCTGACTGTGAGGTACAGGGTCAAAGTTTACTCAATGATGAGTCCGTGGCGAACCGTTCGGAACATCACTAGTGGAGACTATTCTAGCTAATTGTGTAGGCTTGCTAGATTGTCATATCCATCCACTGACATTAGTTCAATCTCTCCTATTTTACATACATTTTTTCTACTGTAGTATTTTCATTTAGCTAGTGCTGTTTATTTTGTTGCAGAGGCATGTTTGGTTATGTAAGTAGGTTTGAATTGAAACTCGCACTTGCAACTTTTTCTGTACATTAAACTGAATATTCCCTAAAATAGTATTCTAAACAAGTTGCTATTTTGCCAAGTTTAAAATATAGGTATTTTTGGTGTTGCAGGGCCAGTGTAAATGTTGCCATAGTTGTTGCTATCTTTATCGACAACTACAAATAGTTTAAAGGATCACTATAGCCCCCACCCTCAGGGTCCCCGTCCCGTGGCGCTGAAGGGGTTAAAATGCCTTCAGCAGCTTACCTTTTTCCATCGGCTGGCTCCCTCGGCACTGGTGACCTCTCCTCCCCCGCCGACGTCAGCGGAGCCGATTGCGCGGCAAGTGCCGCGCGTGCATTCAAAGTGTCCATAGGAAAGCATTTCTCAATGCTTTCCTATGGACGCTCTGCATGATGGAGGCATAATATGCCTTCAGCATCGCAGATGCGCCTCTGGTGGCTGTCCGGAAGAAAGCCATTGGAGGCTGGCTTAACCCCAAATGTTTTCATCTGAATGGTTAAAACCTAAGGGACCTGGCACCCAGACCACTTCATTGAGCTGAAGTAGTCTGGGTGACTGTAGTGTCCCTTTAATGCTTCTTTCATTTCAGAAAGTTATATTTGAACATAACTTTTCATTCCAGCTTATCCTAATGAGTGCTAAGATAAATATACATACCCTGTGGTGCCAATCTCTGTTCCTAATTACTGATCTTAATATTAATGGCTCTAAATGGATGTTATCTCCCTAATGACTTGATGCTAAATCCTGATCTGTAGCGGTTGGCTCAGATTGAGTCTACATGGCTTACAACTCCCATTTAGTCGTTTGTCTCTGCCAACATTTTGCTCTCTTCATGATTTAATTTAGTTTTTTTCTGTTTTTTTGGTTTGGCACAGAACACACAAAAAGGTTCTGAAATACAGCTTTGATGTCCAATGTGTTTGTTTTGCTTTTCTTCTATATCTGTGAACCTGATTATTTCTCTTAAATATGGAATTTCTTATAGTAGGTAATACAAGCAAGCCCTAAAATTATTCTCTCTGTGTGTGTGTTTTAATACGCAGGTATCACATTAGAAATATTACTTAAAACATAAATTTGTGTTCAAAGAATGCACATGCAATGTTTATTTCACTTTATGTAAACCACTGAATTTCATTTGTGCCTCTTTCCTTTAAAAGAAAAGTCTATCTTCACAAAGTAAAATTGCCTAATCAAGTAAAACTAAGTCCTTAAAAACTTATTTTGATACACATGGATGAAGGAAAGGGGTAGTCTGAACACCAGTCTCCTAAAACCCAGTGTCATTAGTTCCCTGACTTCCTCTCACAGTAAGTAGTCTTACCATTTCAGTATGGTTTGATACTTACCTGTGTCACCCAGGCACTACCTGTTTGGCATCCTCTTTTCAAATAACTTATGCAGGCATTCAGTATTTCATTGGTGTTAAGGCTACCCTTGTTTAAGACAATCCATTGACTGAGTGCAACAGCCATGGCAGGAAGCCAAGGCAATCCTGGCACCATAACCACTACAATGGGCTGTATTGGTTAGGGTGCACTAATACTGCACCTAACACCTATTAATGTTAGATTTATTTATTTTTAATTTAAATTCAGAATTTGTAAATTTGATTAATAAATATATAGAATTTATTAATTTCTGGGGTTTTCCTTATGGAAACTTGTATGAACAAAATTTGCAACTTAAAGGAAAAAAGTTAATTACATTTTTTCCCCAAGGGGCAGTTGCTGTTATCATACTTTAATTTTATGTTGATGTCTGCGTAGTTTTGGAGTGTTTCTTCATTTAACACTGTGTGTTTTTAATTATGATTTTGTTTGTTTTATTTTATTTCTTCAGTTGGCAATTCCGCAGGTAGTAGTGGCTCAAGGAGAGATTCCCTGTCTGCTAGCTTTGACTTGTACAAAAGGTCTAGCGGCAGCCTAGCATCCATAGGGCAGCCATTTTACAATAGCCTGGGATTTTCCTCCTCTCCGAGTCCAATAGGCATGCCTCTACCAAGCCAAACGCCAGGACATTCACTAACGCCACCGCCATCCCTTTCATCACATGGATCTTCATCCAGTTTGCATTTAGGTAAAGCAAACTTTTTATTTGTGTGTTTCGTGTGTGTGTTTTTGTGATTGTGGCTGTGATTTTATTTTATTTGTTGGTTTACCATTTTGCATTTGTTATAGATGTTTGTTTTCCTTTGTGGAATTGTCCATGTTTGTGCACATATTCTAATTTACAGGTGTCGGGGGTTAACATGAGAATGGAAATGTTTTTGGTTTTTATAAAATATATATATATATTTTTTTTTTTTATAAACATGGTGTTTTAGTGACCGCTGTCCCCTTTCAGTGGTGGAAGGAGTGTCTTTGTCTATATCTGTGCATTGTATTAAGAGCTACTTACTCACTTTAATGTCCTTCTGTTACAGCCTTTTCAGTTATATTAAGTTGAGTATAATAATTGAAGCTGTAGGTTTACGTTTTTAGGTTTGTTTCTCAGCAAGTTTCCCTCTGCCTTTTCTTCCTTATGTTGTCAAGTAAATGAATACAATTAATTTGGGTAATGAGTAAATACTGAGCCCTAAAACATGCTTGGAAAGTAGTTAAAGCTAAATGTACAGTTTCCTATGCTAAATATTATATAATAGAAATTGCAGCTAGGAATATGTTCCGCTCAATAAGAATAATTGACCCTGCAAACTTTTAGTTTCCTTCGCGTGGTTTTCCTAGGTCGTTTTAAAGCATTTGGCTGGATCTGAGTGGGTAAGCTGTCTCTTCACTCTAATTAATACATAACTAGAAAAGCTACAATTTCTGGGGAAATTGTGTGAAGTGTTCTTGCCTCCACCAGTAGTCTACAACTGGAGTGGGCGGAGTAACTGTTATTATTTATTTATATAGTACATTTAATTGCAACGTTGTTGCCCAAAGTGCTTCACAGTTATATTAAAACATACATTTATAAAAACATTAGCAGGTGTACAAAAGGCCCTGTCTATGACATCACTTGCTGCTCCAGCCTGGCACAGGTCAGAGTATTTTGGCGGTTGCCATCCTACAGCAAAGAGCTTTATATTGTGAGAATCACAAGACCCAGACATACATTTTGCATAGTATGTCTCTGAAATATTAAAAATGAAGGCATAGTCGCAGTTTAGAAATTGCCCTTCAAATTTTAGGTGGCTAGAGTGGAGTTTCAATGAATGTCAATGGACGGCGTGAGTTGCAAACAAATGGTCACATTGTGAAAACTATCAGGACTATGGCTTAGCTGTGTTTAGTGACAGCAGGGATAGCTGAACGTTTTGATATAAGATTTGTGTAGGTGGGCTTTAAAATGAGGGAGTGGTGGCAGTTTAGAAATCATGTCCTGATTTGTCAGCTTTTGCCAGCTCCCACTCTAGTTTTGAACATTTTGCCATTCATTCCTATGGGACCAATTTTGCCACAAAAACGACGATATTCCGTGAACCATTTGGCGAAACGTTCCACAAAGTAATAGCAATCCAATCGGAAACAATCTGCACGTTTCGGTTTATTACTGTCTATGTAGTGTAAAAACTGTGGGAGGGGTTAGGGTGGTAAATTTGGCTATAATAAGAATAATATATATGTGAGATAACATTAAGTGGTCTTGCTATGCAAGAACACTTAATTAAAAGTAAACCAGTCCCAGTGGTATTCCAAGACACCCAAGCCAAACCACTTCCTTCACCAAGGATTAGTTGGTGCCCTGTGAAAATATCCACCGAAACCTTTTCTATAACTCTGGTACAAGATCATCTCATTTGACAATAATACTTTGTTACAGAACTCTGCAACTAAATCATAGGGAATATTTGTGATCTGTCCAATAGTTTCTAGTATTTTTTTGTAATTTGGTCCATACGTTTGCATACTGTATATGCACAGTTGCTGTTGACATCCTTTGGTTTTGGCTGTGTGTCTACAACATGATAAACTGCTCCTCTGCCGTTTACATGTATTTCTTCTAATTGTTTACGCACAGTCGGGTTGTGGATTTTTGTTCAAATGGTCTTGTACAAGGGACAGAAGTGGTAACCCAGTTTACTTGTCCTGACACAAAATAATATCAAAGATTGTGGGGGCCCTTGCCTAAAGCTGTGGACATTCACTAATTTTCACAAATTAAATCTGAATGAAATAATAAAGGCAAAAATAGCTGGTCTGGAAATATTTTTTAACTTTGCTATAGTTAGAGCATGGGTATTTTTGCTTCAATTTTGACTTTTGGATTTATTTGGCAAAAACTTTCCATTTATTTTGCAAAAAAGTGTAGTCTCTCCCTTTGTCTTAGTATGTGTGCTGGCTGCATGTAATGTGTGGTTGTGGGTGTGTATGTGTTGGCTGTATATGACGTGTGTGTGGTGCACTGCCTGTATGTAATGTGTATGTGCTGTGCACTTGCTGTATGTACGGTGTGTGGAGTGTGTTTGCTGTATTTTTAAAGTAATGTGATTAAGAATTTATTTTTTTAGTCTAGTGTTTTATGCATTGATAAGAATTTTTATTTATTTATAATGTTTACATATAAATTAAAGTGTAAATTGTTCAATTTGTTTAATCAAACCATGTCCTCGCTAACTTGCATATACAATTTGTTTGACACGATCACTGGCCCATACACTGACCCACAAACACACTCTGTGATCCATACACAGACTCCTTACGGACACATAGACAAACTAACACACACACTGACCCCTTTATACACAAGCTACAACTGACCCACACACTATACATCTCCATACCATTTTACATTACCAGCAGCCGGTTTGCAGATTGTCCCCTTGACTTTTCATTCCTCAACGCACAGAGTACGGGCTGCTTGGATATGAGTCATGCTACATCCTGACAGCCATTAGCTTTGTGTATCATTAGATACATGTACTGCGGTCCCCAGCCACCTTTTCTAGTGAAGCAGACAGTCCTTCCACCGCAACAATACAGCCCAGGAGTCAATTGTCAATAGTATTCCTCTATCCATAAGTTTATGGATGTAAATACAATTCAACTTAAAGGGACACTCCAGGCACCCAGACCACTTCTGCCCATTGGAGTGGTCTGGGTGCCAACTCCCACTACTCTTAACCCTGCAAGTGTAATTATTGCAGTTTTTTAATGAACTGCAATAATTACCTTGCAGGGTTAACTCCACCTCTAGTGGCTATCTACTACACAGCCACTAGAGGGCACTTCCTGGTTTCTAGAACAGGAATCCTGTGCTAGAGCGTCGCTGGACGTCCTCACACTGTGTGAGGACCTCCAGCGTCGCTCATATCCCCATAGGAAAGCATTGAAATGCATTTTCAGTGCTTTCCTATGAGGAGCGCTAACGCGCATGCGCATTAGGTCTCCCCGGGCCGGTGGGCGGGATCAGTCTCGCCCACCGGTCGACGCAATCAGAGGGAGGAGCGGCGCGGAGGAAGAAGCAGCGACGTGGGACATCGTCACTGCCTCTGGTAAGTGACTGAAGGGGTTTTCACCCCTTCAGCAACCGGGGATTGGGGGGTGGGAGGGAGAGGGGACCTGCAGTGCCAGGAAAACGGATTGTTTTCCTGGCACTGGAGTTTCCCTTTAAACCTCACAGTCCACAGCCTTTCCAATAAAGCCACTTAGTCGTTTAAAGTTTTTTCTTCTCAGCACATATTCATTGGGCTGTTGTACAATCCTATATTACAAAACAACTTGTCATGTTATGTATGTAGAGTGTAAAAAAAAAAGGGGGGGGGGGGGGAAGAAAAGGCAATGTTTACATTGTTGCCCAGGTACACCTCTAGTGGCAGCCACTGAGCGTTCCTTATAGAGATGCATTGATTCAGTACATCTATATGAGGAAATGCTGATTGACGCAACATTTTGCATTGCATGCACAATAGCTTTACAATGCTTTCCTGTGGAGAAGGAGGTGGGGCAGACACGCTTGGCCCTGGAAATAAGGTGAGTTTAACACCTTTTTATCGGGAGCAAGAGGGGCCGGATACCGAAACAGTGTTTTTAAACCTATAGTGTCGGGAATACAAACACTAAGAGATACTTAATTCTGATGGTGTCTGCATTCCAGAGTTTAGTTGAGTCCAAAGATCCCATTACAGCTTGCTTTTGGAGATTGTGTATGGTTTCTGATTTTAGGCCCAAGAGCTTGTTCACTGTGCATCATCCTACGTACTGGGTGCTCCATCTGCCTCAAATATTAGTAATGTGTTGCTCTTTGGTAGAAGGGGTAAAATGTGCTGCCTTTCCTAATGGAGGTGGTGTGGCAGAGTCAGAAGGCTTTAGAAAGCCATGTTTCGGTGGTATGGGAGGGAACCAGGTGAATAAATAATACTTCATTGTTGCTGGTTTTATGGTACTTAGTCTCCTATGTAGATAGCCCATGGAAGTCAGTGTTTGTAACAATTTTTGAATTGGGGTTTAGAGCAAGGTTAGGGACACCTGTCCAGCATACAGATTTTTTTTAATATAATATTAACTTATCTCCTATGCTTTACAAATATGTTTGAGAGGTGTGAACAATACATTTAATTCTACCTGTGTGTGTTTGGTAGTGTATATCATCTTTTTTGTGTCTATAAGTGTGCATGCTTGTATGTGTCAGACTGTGTATTTCTGTTTGTCTTGGAATGCATGTCCATGAGTGTTTTTGTGAGCTCTTCATGGGACCCATAGACTATGATTTTGTACAAGAATTCTAATGGCAATCCTGCCTTCCACAACACCATGACAGAATGTTAACTTACCTTGCTACTTCCCCTATCACCAGTTCACCGAATAAGCCAGGTCTCTGGAAAATCTCCATACTACAGAATTCTTTTACATTTTGAGCAATCAATAAAGGTTGGGTGTATAAATAAACCCGTTCAGGAACCTTGTTGAATCTTCAAAAGATGCAAACTCTGTCTTTTGTTGGCTTCTCTCTCAAACACCATGCATTACTTTGAAATCTATAGGCAGTATGACGCATATCTTGCACCGTCAGTTCGCAATGTTCCAATGCTGAATGTTGTCTTTAGGACTTGCAGATGCTTTGCCAGGATTGCACAAGCAGTGATGGGTGTGTGCACTTGAGCACATGCAGCCCTGTCAAATTCCTGCTAATGATCCAGGCATCTACATGAGAAGCAGTGAATTGGTCTACTGCGCATGCTTAGTTCATCCTTTCTGCATTTCTTTGACCGGCATTTGATTGGAGAATGTGCAGCACTAAATATGAAGTTCATACTAGCAAAAAAGAGCAGATCATCGTCTGCAGAAGCTTTTAGGAGTTAGGGAAGGAAGTTCTAATTAACAGCACAAGTGAGCAAAAACTACACCTAGTTAACATTTATGCCCCCAACGACCCAGATCACAATTTCTGGGACTACATGGAAACCCTACTATCCACCCTCCAAGGAGGCATACTAGTAGTAGGGGGGGATTTTAAAGCTGTTCCCTGCCCGACACAAGATAGAAGCTCTAAACCAGGGACACAACGCTCACAGGGCAGGGGGGACAAGACAAACTAATGCATGCATTCCTCCAACACACAGGATTGCTCGACGCATGGAGACTCCAACACACGGCGGACTACTCGTACTACTCTGCACCACACAACACATACTCCAGAATCGATAATATTCTCCTTAATGGCGCAGGCATGGCTATACTCATCCACTCAGAGATCAATAGCATTACATGGTCTGACCACGCTGATGTCGCGGTCACACTGGAGAAACTGCACTATCACTCCGACTGGACTTGGAAGCTCAATACGAACCTACTCAATGACGAGGATATACTCCTCACAACTCGGGCGACAATTACAGATTCTGACGTTGGGGATATAACCCCAAAGACCGTCTGGGCAGCTCACAAATCAGTACTGAGGGGCCATTTCATTTAGGCAGTCACCCACAAAAATAAAACGAAGCACCTCTTGGAGCTTCAAACCACACTGTGGAAAACAGCACAACAACACAAACACAGCCACACCACACATAAGTTCAACGAACTCCAAGCACTAATACACTCCATTAGAGAGCTGTCCATAGCAGACGTGGCACGCTCCATGCTCTGGTCTAGGCGCCTATTTTACGAAAAGGCCAATAAGTTGGACACACTGCTAGCCAAAAACACTGACTGACAACAAACATGCGCTTGAACATCAGGCTTCTGCGAAAGCCCACTACCGAAGTGTTACTGTATTAATGCAACACCTGTCAGTGACCACATAACGAATTTAAAAAAAAAAGTCACTGTGCACTCAATACTTCCAAAGGCCAGGATTTGAAAAAGATGCAATCAGCAATTTGTATTATTACTTGGTTGTTTTATGTATTTAAATATCAACGTGATGATATGATTACTCAGTCTGCCTTTAAAGGATGAAATGGAAGATATACAAACTAGCTGTTGAATCCATACATGGTATTTCTGCCTGTAGTGGTAAACTGTTTATCATTTAGTTTGTCATTCCCTGCAACATGCACACATTCTGCCCTTCTTCCCTACAGCCTCATTGTTTGGAATTTTATTAAATCGTGACCAATCGCTATTTATTTTAAACCGTGACCAAACCTTTTTTAGTAGATGTTGGCACTCTTATAATGGAAACTTAAAGGACACTCAAAGCCTTATAACAAGCTATGCTCACCGCAAAGCTTGATAATGCAGAGATGTCTGCTCTCCTTTTCTTCTCAAATGAAATTTGTTAAAGCAACATCTATTTGCAAACATCCCTGCAGATATACACCTGTCCTTTTGGTGACACATATCACAGAATGAAAAGAATACTTAATCTTCTTCTGTTGCTTGTACACTGTGTGAACTAGGGCTCGTCAAATCCCAGGCACCAAGTCGCAATGGTTACTAGGATTTTTGCCCTGGCGCCTGGGATTTGCTGGCTCATTTAGCCCCCGAGGTGGTCGGCTGCTTATGAGTGCAGGCGGACGGCTCATAAAGAGCAGAAGCATGCGTTCTGTCGGCCTGCTGAGTGCGGGCGGTCGCAGCCAGCCAACCGATGGAGAGGGCGGGAGGCTCCTGGAAGATTGAGCATGTGTGGCAAAACGCCATGCTGTGCCAATCAGCATCTCCTCATAGAGATAAATTGAATCAATGCATTACTATGGGGAGCATTCAGCGCCTCCACGCAGCGCATGGAGACGTTAAACGTAGGTGCTGCGCACTGTACAGCACTGACCCAGGATGCACTCTAGAGGCCGTCTGAGTGACTGTCACTATAAATGTTACTAAGCAACAATGTAAATACTGCCTTTTCTCTAAAAAGACAGGGTTTACATTGAAAAATGTGCAGGGACAGGTTATAGACACAAGAACAACTACATTAAGCTGTATACTATACAGTAAGCTGTGCTGATTCTGGTGACTATAGTGTCCCTTTAAGAATTGCATTTTTCATTGAAAAGCCTAGTTTCTAACTTTATTTGCTGGCTCCTAGATTCTAAGCAAATTTGTCAAGCCCTGATGTGAACAATTCCCACCTCCCCAATCAGGCTATACAAGCTGCAAAGGAACCTAAATAGTGGCTACACTCATGCTTGATCATAGCGGGTAGATGCTTTTAGATAATTTAGTACAGCTGTCTGCAATCTGAAAGGAGCCAACAGTGCACCTGCTATCAGCATAGACAGCCGTTCCATTGGTTTTGCTTGATGAAACTAATTGCTACCAACTGTTGAACTGCCCATCTGATCCCATGAACAATTGATGGGCAGTAGGTTACAGTATGAGCTCAATGAAAATAATAATGCATCTTGAAAAGGCTTACCTAATTTCTGGTGTGGGCTGAGCTTACTGTAGATATGCAAAGCCTGGATATGGGCAAGAAATGCAAAGGTGGGTATGTTTTTGAGCTGTATGGTCTATATAATTAACAAATAATCAATCTGGACTACCTCTTTAATATTTTCTTCAAATAGTTTTTATTAAGCGGTGTCAATTGAATGGAATGTAGACATTGACTGGGTTGTGCTTGCTACAGGAGGTCTCACAAATGGTAGTGGACGCTACATCTCTGCAGCTCCAGGAGCAGAGGCAAAGTACCGCACTGCAGCCAGCAATTCCAGCTTTTTCAGTTCCAACAGCCAGCTTTTCCCTCCCTCTCGTCTGCGCTACAACCGCTCTGACATCATGCCCTCGGGCCGGAGTAGGCTGCTGGAGGACTTCAGGAACAATCGTTTTCCAAACCTGCAGCTCAGGGATCTGATAGGACACATAGTGGAGTTTTCCCAAGACCAACATGGATCTAGGTGAGATTACATAATGCAGGGTGATCGTATTGAGTAATATTGTATTGATAAAAGATAAGACAACACTTGGCCAGCCAATTGGATTATTCTTCTTATCCTTATTTTTCGAATGCGTGCAGGACCATTCACTTTAGTAGAAAACGCATATCACAAGAAAACATATCTTTGTTTTGGTTTTGTTAAAGTTACTTTCATTGTGGTCAACAGTAGTTGTTTGAGAAGGGAACTGATGTAAAAAAGTTCCCATATAAAATCTAATTAGGTTAAAGATCATGCATCTTTCAGAGATCTCTGGCTAGTACCCAACAAGAATCCAAAAGAATCTCTTCACTCCTCTGACAATCCAATTTGTTCCATTTCATTTTTAATGTGATTGTTAACTTTGTAAAATTCTTCTCTTCCCTAAGCAATTCTAATTGGAATTATTGCCTTTATTAATGTTTATGATCTTTCCAGGTTTATCCAGCAGAAGCTAGAACGCGCTACTCCATCAGAGCGTCAGGTTGTGTTTAGTGAAATTCTGCAGGCAGCCTATCAATTGATGACCGATGTTTTTGGAAATTACGTGATACAGAAGTTTTTTGAAGTACGTTTCTTTTCTTTTTGTTTCTTCAGGTTGCATGAGTGTGAGAAAATATCTAAAAATATCTCACAATAAAGTTTATTCCATGCTATTATTTTACTGCTTTCACTGCCACAATAATAATGATCATATAAATGCAATTTCTCCAGTTTGGGGGTTCATTTTCCTTGTTCTGGTGGAGAAACGGTATATCTGTTCCCCTGGTGATATGGCTCTCTTCCTTGCTCTCTCTCAGCTTGCTGATAGGAAGCAGGGAAGGTCATAATTCCTACTACATAGTCCCTGATATTGCAGACACCACCAAGGACGCCAAATCACTGTAGGTTTTCTTAAATTTAATATATTCTGTTTTTTTTGCTGGTAGTAGCATTGTGTTACATTTAACACTATTTGTCGTTCAGTTCGGCAGCATGGACCAGAAACTGGCTTTGGCAACACGCATACGTGGCCATGTGCTTCCTCTGGCTCTGCAGATGTACGGATGTCGTGTCATTCAGAAGGCCCTTGAATCTATATCCCCGGACCAGCAGGCAAGTAGAAACACTTACATTTTCTTAATGTAGACATTTACATTGATGTCTGATACGGGAGACCGTGACGCAGGACATTTTGTAAGGGGTGCAAAGCTTTAATGAAAGGCCTCCTCAAAATTATTAGAGGGTAAAATAATCTCATGAGCAAATGTAGTAATTCTTGTGAGTTTGAGATAAAGATTTGACTCAGATGTCAAAATAAAATCCTCTTGAACAAATCAAAGTATTAAAACATTAATTGAATTGGACTGTAATTACTTGTTGACTGTATTTATGAAGGTGATAATTGAGCTATTTGGGGTAAAGTGCTACCTTTGGAGCAATAATCTCAGACTCAGAATATTTCTGCTAATTGATCTGTGTTTAGCCATTAGCTTGTTCCTCTCTAACTTTGCCATTAGCCTGTTCCACTTTTATCTAAGTGTAATTTTATACGTATATTGTGCACAGACTCCCAGTAATTGCTTTCTCTGTAATATATCATTTGTCAAACAGTTTTAATACAACATTTTATTGTAGCTACTCATATGTTGTGATAGATCTAGACTTATACACATGTCAGTATGTCATAAAATTGGACCCGGGATTAATCTCTTCCTCGTTTTTGGTTTGCACAGAGTGAAATGGTGAAGGAGCTGGATGGTCATGTACTGAAATGTGTAAAGGATCAGAATGGTAATCACGTTGTGCAGAAGTGCATTGAATGTGTTCAGCCACAGTCACTTCAGTTCATCATCGATGCATTCAAAGGACAGGTATGTCAATCTGCTGTTAAAGCCATTGTTTCTGTTTGGTTTTATAGAATAATCATGATTATGCAGATCTGAATAGGTAAAAACTTCCATACAATGGGTACACATACTGTGAGTGTTCTTTGCCCTTTAGTATATTGTACACGGTACCACAATACTCTGTAGCTGAAATCTAACGAAAGCTAAATATAAAACTCCTTGTTAAATAATTTTAAGTTCGTTACTTGTAAGTGTGGGATAATTCCTGACAAGGCTGAATACAGAAATTGGAAGATTCAGGGGGTTAGTTTTGGAATATAGTGTTGCTAGATGATGTACAGTGATACGCCAAGCTGTAGATTGTGGAAAAAATAATTTCTTGTATTGACAACTCAGCCAAACCATTTGAGTAACGAATAAATATAATTGTTCCCCTCAAGGTTTATGTACTTTCCACTCATCCATACGGCTGCCGAGTAATCCAGCGTATTCTTGAACATTGCACGTCGGAGCAGACCATGTCCATTCTGGAGGAATTACATCAAACTACAGAACAGTTAGTGCAGGTACAGATACAATCTGCTGTTGTCAGTAAAGCTTAGATGTTTAGTTACTAGCTAGTTGTAGTGAGCTGAAAATAACAATAAAAATATTTCCATCTTAATAAGTCACTTATTACTTGAATAGACACCATATGTAGAGTCAAGGTTTTGAGATATTATGTGGAACTATTTTGGCATTAGAACCATTTCAGTGCGGTTATGATGGGTGCCAGAATTCCCCCCCGTGTTATTGCAGTTTGCACAGGGTGTCAAACGAGCACTTTGGCTCTTACCTGGCTCTGTTGGGAAATCATATTCTTTCTAGTCATATGACATGCTCTGCCGGTGAATTCTTTTAAAAGTTGGACAAAATGTATCCAGCTAATAAGTATAAACTTCCACCTCTGCACATATCTGTTTAGACTGACAGGTAAGTGGTAAATGTCACTAAATTACTTACACAGAGCCAGGTAAATGACAACCAATCATATATTGACAGCTTACTGTGCAATACACTCAGACGATATCTGGCACCTACCAAATGTGAGAGAGGCTGAACTTGATAAACATGTCTCTTTTCAGCTATGTAACTATAACCACTTCAGCATGGGGGGGGCAGTGGTTATGATACAAGGAGTCCCCTGGGCTCTCACAGTTCCGATATCACTAAAGCTTGATTTCTACTTCTGCGTTAGTGCTATTAATACCCGCTGTCAAAATACAGAAGAAATTGATCTATCTAAAGTGGAATGGAACTTCCACCAGAGCTATATCTCAGAAGGGGTCTGGATCATGGCCAGTCACAAGACCCAGGTAAGTGTCAAACTGTTCAAAAACAGTTTGACTCTTAACTGTGGGTCTGTGCGTGAGGACCATAACCATTACAGCTCAACATGGTTACAGAGCTTAAACCGTTAGCTTAATCTTAACTCTTGCATTATTCGTCTCCGAATCGGTTACTTTCCCCCCATTTTGCAAATCTTTTGTTGTCTCAGTGTTTAATAAATATATATTTTCCTGTCCAGGATCAGTATGGGAATTATGTTATACAGCATGTGTTGGAACATGGCCGCTCTGAAGACAAGAGCAAAATAGTGTCTGAGATAAGAGGGAAGGTCCTGGCTTTAAGTCAGCACAAATTTGCAAGGTTTGTTATTCTTTCTTTCATTCTTGAAGTGACATTACACTTTTCTCTGTCTTTTTATATGGGCTGAGTATAATAATCAGGGATAATATTTTAAACTTTAACTATACTGGTTAAGAGTAGAAAACTGTATTTTTTGTATTGTATGTAGGAATGAAATGTTTCATTTCAGTGTTCTGCATCCTGGCAATCTACAGTCTGCAATTATCAGCATATTACTTACCGGCAGGGTTTGTAAACTTTGTAATTTCATCTTTCAGCCCGGTGTGGGCTTTTTTTTAAATTTTTGTTATTATAAGATATGCCAGAAAAGATGATAAAATGTGAAGCAAAAGTTCTTTAAATATATTATTTACATGTAGTATTAGTGAAAGATGGTCTCTTCCCTTCCTCTTTTATTTGTTTTATTTAATGTATTTTTGAATGGTTTAGACAAATTTCAATTTGTAACCCTTCTTTACATATGTCTGCAGCAATGTAGTAGAGAAATGTGTCACTCACTCTTCCCGGGCTGAGAGAGCACTGTTAATAGATGAGGTCTGCTGCCAGAATGACGGTCCTCACAGTGCCTTATACACCATGATGAAAGACCAGTATGCCAATTATGTAGTGCAGAAGATGATCGATATGGCTGAGCCAGCCCAACGGAAAATCATCATGCATAAGGTGATATAGCAATCACTGCACACATTATTTTCACACGTGGATTAGAACTAAAAAACTCATTCTGAACATGTAGTTCTATTGCAATCTCTCCCACTGTCTTTGTTTTTATTTTTATCATACCTTTCTTAACATTCTGATTGAATTGTCTTCTAAACATGAATAGTTTTGCTTTTTTTTTTACCCTTCCATCCCAGCATGCAGTGTTTTTCTATTTTGCTCTGAAAATGCTGCTGCACTTGTCACAAATGAGGTTTCTTGGAATTGTATTTAAGTTAGCAGTGTACAGTAGAAAGCTGACAAGTTAACTCCCAGAAACCCTTATTGAGGGCTTAAAGCATTACTTATAGAAAGTTAAGTAAGCATTATGATTGGCCAAGTCACTTCTTGGTTTAGTAAAGACTTACTGTAGAAGATGCTCCATAATTAAATTTGCAGCAAATAAAATGTGATGTCCCCCCATTTTAATTTGTTTTTGCATATATTTTCATGCATGGCATGAAACGTTAAAACGTTAAAAAATAAGCCAACTCAGTCTTGGATTGTCCCTTTAAAAGTCAAATAGCCTTTGTTTACCTTATTGGAGTTACAAAACTGGCAAATTAGAACAATAGAATCAATTCTGTTAAGTCACAGGAAAAAACAGTTACTTCGTTATTGAATTCTGATACGCTTTTACTTGCTTACTTCTCTAGATCCGACCACATATCACAACTTTACGTAAATACACGTATGGGAAACACATTTTAGCCAAGCTGGAGAAATACTACATCAAGAGTGCTGACATTGGACCTATGGTGGGATCATCGAATGGAATGATCTAGGGAAAAGAAGCGCACACCTCGAATATCTCCAAACATGTACCAGGAGACAGAGATGTCCATTCAGTTTTGTTATTTAATCAACTACACATGAAATCCCTTTTATTTATTGCAGACCCACTTTGAAATATTCTTCTGGGCTTTTTGGCCTTGTTACCAATTCCATTTCTCCGGCTCTGGTGGAAGACCAACCCATCAGTCTAGTTAGCATAAAATGAGAGCCTGTAAATGATGTAATTGTATCAAGCTGTCACATATTTTGTAAATTTATACCTTGTAAAATTTCTGTAAAAAGTGGTAGTTTTTAAAGGGAAAGTTCAGTATTTTAATATGCCAGTTAGATGTTTGGGTTGGTCTTTCACAAGTATGGCATGGGAGGATTACTGAATTGTATATAGTTGTTTTTTCCCCCCAACCCTGCCTTGAAGCTTTTTACTTTTTTCTTAATCTTTTAATCTTTGCGGACGATGTTTTCTGCTTTTCTGTTGAAATTGAAGCCAAATATTTAAACTAGAGGTTCCTGAGCACCACATCTATTTATATGCAGATTGGTCACTTGTGCTCAGCCTAGGGCAGAGATGGAATTTCCTTAGCACTGCAGGAATTTGTCGTAATAAGACAGAACCATGTTTGATCTGCAGGTTTATGACTTGCCATCGCTATTCTAGAATATTTTTTGGAATTTGAGTCAATTAATAACTAAAGAGATATTTGTAAAACAAAACAAGAAAAGGTTGAATGTATTTTGTTTTCCCCCTTAAAAGAAAAGGCAGTTGACTTGCTGTCATCTGGTTTTGAAGCAAAGTAGTTTAATTAAAAAATAGTGCAAGCGTGGATCAATTCAGCGTACCTTCTTTCTGCACTTGTTTAAGAGTGAGATGGCTCGTATTGACCATCTCTCATTGTTTAATGGCTTGTTTATTTAAAAATTTAGTTCTGATTACTCTGTCAGCTATTTCATCGCCACCTCAGGTTGTTAGAATGAGAAAATGATATAAAACAATGCAGCCATAAGCCCGTGTTTCCAGATGCCATCACATTTTGCAAATCGCTGCAGCATTTACTTAGCAGACTTTACACTGGAGACTTTAGAATTCCCAGAAGAGCATTGTATGCATTGCAATGTTTGTGTGCTCTATTCTCTGGGATTTAAGGGGTTATTTCCCACAGCTTTTATTTCAGTACTGCACATAAGTATTTTTTTTTCTTTCTTATACAATGGTGTGACTTTTTCAGTAGCAACATAGCGATTCTTTTGCGGTCTTATAATTAGCCAGTAAGAAGTAGTTTAGAGGCAAAGAGACAATTGGTAGCTTGCCATTTACGCATGATAAAAAAAAGAAAAATATACAAATAGGATTTATATTAATTTTCCTTTCCCCCCCTATTTCTTTATATAAATATATCCTTTTTGTTGTATAAGTGTAACTAATAAATAGTTGTACGTTTACAGTTTTGATGTTTATTACAAGCCTTGCTCATTTTGTAGTGAACGCTCTGCTTTTTTTGGTTGTACAGATGTACATTTGTAAACCTTTACGCTGTAAATGTAATTTCTTTTACCTCTTCTTACGGGGGGGTGGGTGCACACAATTTGCATTTTAGTGTACATTAAGGTCTCTCAATTGCCTTGGCAAATAGTGTTGTATAATGTAAATTCCTCTCTGAATCAAGAACTTTTTTTTTTCTCTCTCTTTTTAAAACCCAGTCTTTATACAGCTTGAAAATAAATCTATATATACTAGCTTTGTATTTACCTACTGCTGGAAATTATTAGTTAATGTTTATACCACAGCTGTCTAAATTGTTAATAGTAATGATCAACACCGTACATTTTGCATAGTAAAATAAAAATCTGATTTGAGAAGGCTATAATATATGTATGTATATGTATGTGTATATGTTTCTTTTTTTTTTTTTTTTTTAAATAGCCTACTCAAATACAAAAGAAAATATGTATGATACTGTCAGTTTTGGTGAACATAAGACATTGTAACAATAGCCTAATGACGATGTAAGTTTACAAGCGGCCTTATGTACATTTCCCAATCTTTTTAAAGGCAAAATTGTGACCATGTGTATAATTAAAATACTTTTTAATCACTTTCACTTGTAGAAATTTTCTTTGGTGCATATATTTTTTTATATATGTGTGTGTGTATATATATATATATATATTTTATTTTATTTTTTCTGTTCTAATCATTTTTGGTCCTCAAAAATGTGACATGAATTGTCCAGGATTAAATGCTTCCTTGTATGAAGGAAATCTTTTTATGGCGAATTATGTATTTTCTTACAAAACATAGTAGATGAAACAGTTTGGCTCAAGTGCCATAGGGTGACTAACTATGCCAGCCTTAGACTGATCTATAAATGCGTGTTATTTTATTTCTTTTTCTCTCCTCTTTTTCTTTTTTCTGATCTGAAATGTATTCTAAATATCCTTTCTTTTGGCGTCCAATAAAAACCTATTCTGTCAAACTATAAAACGTTAATAATAATAAAAAATAAAAAATTAAAAAGAGAGCGCATGTATTACAAAGTAGAAAACCTATGTAATAATCTATATATATTTAAAATAAAACTATAAAAAATAGTACCCAATGTACTCAAACAGTAATAGCTGCTAAAACAAAAAGAATATTCCCAATTCCAAGAAACAAATGTAAATAAAAATTTCAGCGCTGAGTAGATAATCCCCTTAGAAATAAAAAAGGTGCATACATATGCAAAAAAAGAAAAAATCAGGCAGAGAAAAGTGTCCAAAATATATAGTTCTGTAACAAAGTCCTATAGTGAGAAAGTCCAGATAACGTTGTGATATGTAGAAACTCAAAAGCATGTAGGAATACCTTGGGAAAAAAGAAACAAAAAAAGATACATAGCGTGATACTGTATCAAAATTTATTGCCCAGAATACAAATGGAAAAAATCCCCCCCAACTTCAAAACTCTTACATTAGATAAAATTTAGTACTCATCATAGTAGAAGTAGCTGGTAAAGTTCTTTCAGAGCCGCTCGTGTTTTTCCCCCGGGGCAGCTCCTCTCCGGTGCACTCAGGAGGGCTGCTTGTGATGTCTTCTATGGAGGAACGCTAACTGAAAGTCCGGCTTCTGTAGATAACTAAAAGTGTCTACCGCAGATAAATCTTGCAGATAGACAGTAGTGGCACCCTATCAACGCGTTTCGCCCTGCTAACGAGGGCTTTTTCAAGATAGGTGCTCGGAGCATTATTCGGCAGTTTTATACTTGCCGGGTAAAACAAATTCAAATCTCTTAAGGGTATATACCCCTCTTAAAACACATGTAAAAAGAAAAACATATAAAAAAAGCTGCAATTTGTATAAACAAGAACAGAATACTTCCCAACAATAGATATAAAATACTGCACATAAAACACAATTATAAACTACTAAAAAAATAATAATAAATTTATACACAGATCCAAAACATAAAACAGTCACTATAACAGTGATTGCTATATACATGTTTATACATCTCACTCCTGAATATCAATTTCCTAACTCTTATAATATCATGGGTATTACTTATACTCAACAACAATTTTTTTTGGTATGGCAGCGAGATATATCTTCAAACCAACGGTACCGCTATGGGGACCAGGTTCGCTCCCAGTTACGCCAATATTTTTATGGCTCACTGGGAAAATCAGTTTGTTTGGCAGGGACACCAGTGGGGAGCGAACCTGGTCTTCTATAGACGGTACATCGATGACTGCTTTTTTGTGTGGAAGGGGAAAGAGGCAGATCTCATTGAATTTTTAGCATACATTAATACCAATACATATAATCTATCATTTACATACAAGTACAGTTCCACGGAGATAGATTTCTTAGATTTGGTTCTTTATATTGATCCATATTGTACCTTGAAGTCTAAGACTTTTTTCAAAAGTGTAGACGTTAATAGTTACATTTGGACCTCGAGTTGCCATTATCCATCGTGGCTATCGAGTATCCCATTTGGTCAATTTTTAAGGGTTAAAAAAAATTGCACAGATCCAGAGGTGTATGAACTACAATCACAAAAGGTCAAACAACAATTTATGGAAAAGGATTACAATGAGAAAACACTGGAGATAGCTCTCCAGAAAGTGAAAAATATAGAACGAGCAACCCTGTTACAAACCAAACAAGAGAAAGTTAAAACAGATAAAGACATAGAAAATTTGTGTCCTCTGGTGTTCAACTATAGCACACAAGCAAATTGCATAAAAACAAGCATACAAAAACATTGGCATTTGCTTCGGCAGGATCCGGCTTTAGCTACACTTTTACCTATACAACCAACGGTAATTTTTAGGGGGGCTCCCACTCTGCAAGACAGGCTGGTACATAGTTATAATAAGCCTATAGGACCCAACCATTTTTTGACTGGCCAAAAAGGATTCTATAAATGTGGAAATTGCAATATATGCAAGTTAAGCTCTAGAGGGAAAAATTATTCCACCTTTCAGTCCTCGATTACAAAAGAAATGTTTAACATTAAGAGTTGTATCACATGTAATACCAAACAAGTTATCTACAAGTTGGAGTGCCCTTGTGGCCTCCAATACGTGGGTCAAACTAAAAGAACACTTAAGATTAGACTTAGAGAGCACGTTTACAACATTAAAAGGGGCTTTGAGAAACATTCCCTCTCCAATCACTTCAGAACACACCATAATGGAGATCCTACACTTCTCTCATATTGTGGTATAGAAAGGGTAGAAGTACCATGGAGAGGAGGTGAGTTGAGCAAATCCTTAACATACCGGGAGATGTTTTGGATCTATACACTTAAGACCCTGATCCCCTCGGGTCTTAATGCAGAGCTGGAACTAGCTAATATATTATAGCATGGGATCAGCATTAATATCGGCCCATGCTGTAAATCATATATACAATATTTAGTTAATTGCCCTATTTTTTAGTGTCCAGAGTAAGGTAGTAATTTATATGCCCAAATGGTTGGGAATCCTAGACCTATATTGTTCTATTGCTATAAGTACTGATATTATTAAGAATTCTATATATATATATTTTATAGAGAATTATATAATTTTTGATTGATATGTTAGGAGTTCCTATAATATAGAAACATATACTATTATGAGATGCCTTATCTTGTTTTTACTGTATTAGACATAGCTTATTATGCCATAAGTCTATATCAGTTAGCACATTCTTCTCTTTACAGTTCTAGAGATACTATCTGCTATTAGGTTTCTAACTAGATGAAAATTACTGATAAATTTATATATTCTGTGGTCAACTGTGAAGAATGTAATTATTATTATTTACACATCATGATCAAGTAATACCCATGATATTATAAGAGTTAGGAAATTGATATTCAGGAGTGAGATGTATAAACATGTATATAGCAATCACTGTTATAGTGACTGTTTTATGTTTTGGATCTGTGTATAAATTTATTATTATTTTTTTAGTAGTTTATAATTGTGTTTTATGTGCAGTATTTTATATCTATTGTTGGGAAGTATTCTGTTCTTGTTTATACAAATTGCAGCTTTTTTTATATGTTTTTCTTTTTACATGTGTTTTAAGAGGGGTATATACCCTTAAGAGATTTGAATTTGTTTTACCCGGCAAGTATAAAACTGCCGAATAATGCTCCGAGCACCTATCTTGAAAAAGCCCTCGTTAGCAGGGCGAAACGCGTTGATAGGGTGCCACTACTGTCTATCTGCAAGATTTATCTGCGGTAGACACTTTTAGTTATCTACAGAAGCCGGACTTTCAGTTAGCGTTCCTCCATAGAAGACATCACAAGCAGCCCTCCTGAGTGCACCGGAGAGGAGCTGCCCCGGGGGAAAAACACGAGCGGCTCTGAAAGAACTTTACCAGCTACTTCTACTATGATGAGTACTAAATTTTATCTAATGTAAGAGTTTTGAAGTTGGGGGGGATTTTTTCCATTTGTATTCTGGGCAATAAATTTTGATACAGTATCACGCTATGTATCTTTTTTTGTTTCTTTTTTCCCAAGGTATTCCTACATGCTTTTGAGTTTCTACATATCACAACGTTATCTGGACTTTCTCACTATAGGACTTTGTTACAGAACTATATATTTTGGACACTTTTCTCTGCCTGATTTTTTCTTTTTTTGCATATGTATGCACCTTTTTTATTTCTAAGGGGATTATCTACTCAGCGCTGAAATTTTTATTTACGTTAATAATAATAATACAACTTCCAATATTGTAAAATAATCTACTTAAAACCACACAGTTGCTAAATTAAGATTACATCTCAAGATTTACACTGTAAAGCTTTGCAGTGTTGGGTTAAACAAGCCCAGTTCTTCTGAATTTTACCAAGGGTCTGGTGCCCTTGTTTTGGAAGGAAGAGAGAGCTCCACTGATGGAACTTTGGTTCCAACAAATGGAAGAACTTCACTCCATGGAAGACCTGATATTCCGTAGCAGTGAGAGGTCCCAAACTTACCTGATATGGACTCAGTGGCTTCTGTCAACAGACTCTGCTGAATTCAAGACGCTATTGCAATAAAACACTTATGACGCCACCTGTAGTGAAAGAGAGATGCGATAGACTGAACAGCAAAACTCACGAAGAACTCACGGAAGTAATGGGAGGGGGATATAGAGAGGTGAGAGACGGGAGACCCTGAGACACAATGCTATGATGCAGCCCCCTTTTCATATCTGAAAATACTAAGCACCCTCAAACACCCCACCCCCTGCTCGCACCCTTTTTTTTCTTTTCCTTACTTACCCTCCCTTTTTCCTGTTGTTTAAATACTCGTCACCCCCTTGGACCTACGTGCAGGGGAGACCCTTTTAAGGCCGTGCTTCTTTGTAGCTGCCACGGGTGACTAAGTCAGTGTCCCTCCCTCACACAGAGAAAGACACAAGCTGACACCAGACGGACAATCGTACAACTGATCACCAGGGCAACAACCTAGCATAAGCATGGTTAATGAAACGCTGTACTTCTGATGTCATACAGTAATTGCAATATTTCCCTGTGACGTAAATAACATGCTTGTAACTAACTCCATAAAAATTTAAACCTGCGCGTCTCACATGCTGCTTAGATGTTCACGGAACCTGCGAGTTCCACAGTTTCACATTTATCTGATACAGAACTGCGTGTCTTGTACTACTCTGTTATATGTTGTATTCGACCCCCAAAAAAAGAGAGAATTTAAAATGACAGTAGGTTCTCTTGTTGAAATAAACAGATAATCACAACAACAACAAAAAAACATCCCCAGTTCACACTCCATGAACGATATGCTCCTGATTGGCTGGGATTAAAGGAACAAGGGAGATTGCATGACTTCAGAGACAGGTTTGAAACTGTTAAACTATTCAAAGTAAAAAATACACAAACCAGCAGTTAATGTATGAAGTAAATAATCAGAAACAACTCTTGGTATGATCAGATCTTTCCTGCATGAATTTATAAGCTGCAACAATATCACTGCAAACGAGTGGTCCGAGAAGCATCAAATGACATGCACGGCCAAGGCCCCCACTGGACTTGTGTTGCGTGAGAGTCAACACCGTGACAGTAAAGTGAGGTTGAAAAAAGTTGAGTACAGGCATAGTTGACAAAGGCAATGGAGCTTCAGGTTATACATAAGGAAAAATAGAAAAAAAACATTTTGCTGCACATGCGCCTTAGCTTCTCAATTCTTTTCTATGGAAAAGCATTGGGTTGGCCAAGACCATCACAATTGATGATCTCCATGAAGTAGGTGTGACCAGCAGAGGAGAAAGCTACATGGCATGGGAGGAAAGTAAGTTAACTCTTGTTTAAACCTTGCTTAGTAATCCTGAACTTAAAAGGAGTGAGCTCCATGCTCGATGTGAGAACGTTCAAAATGGAATCCGTACAGACCATCTTGAAAAGCATCAAAAGAGGGGACTGGATGACTTCTATAGACTTGAGGGACGCCTACTACCAAATCCCTATGAACTGCGATCATGTAAAAATTTCTCAGATTCTGGGCTCTAGGTAGACACTTTCAATTCTGGGGCCTCCCGTTTGGCCTCAGCTTGGCACCAAGAACGTTCTCAAAAGTTCTTGTCACTTTTAATAGCCTTCATAAGAGTATGAGGTATCGAAATCTTCCATTACTTGGACGATATCCTCATCATAGGTCCATCCCAAAGGATAGTGGCTCATCATACTCTAGTGACAATGAACATTCTTCAAAATCATGGTTGGCTTATGAACGGAGAGAAGAGCTCCCTAAATCCTTCTCAAAAAAATAATATTCCTTGGAGAAGTGATAGACACGATCTCAGCACGTGTTCCTCTCTCCAGATAGGGCCCTAAAAATCCAAGATAAAATCGTAAAACTACAATATATGTCAAAACAGCCTCTGCGAGAGAAATCGTGAGTCTCAAAGGTTCTTTGATATCAACAGTTGGGCTGGTAAAATGGGCCCAATGGAAGTTTCGTCCTATTCAGAATTGCTTCCTTCTTCAATTCGACAGAGTAGAAACAGATTGGGAGCAAAGGATAATTCTGCCCCTGCCGGTAAGAAAAGGGTTGAATTGGTGGAGGAGCAAGAAGAATTTGGCGAAAGGCTTCCAGTTAGAGGAACCACCTTTGAACGTTATTCCAACAGATGCAAGTTCTTTTGGATGGGGTGCCCACTTTAATTCCACATGGAAACAAGGAAAGTGGACCCGAGAAGAGAGTCGTCTACACTCAAATTTAAGGGAGCTAAGGGCCATTTCCAGAGCCATCTTGGAATTCCTTCTGATGACTGAAAAATCTTGGGTCCTGATCAAAACAGACAACCGAGTGGTTGCCTGCTATGTGAACAACCAAGGAGGCACAAGAAGCAGATTGCTCTTGAAGGAACTAGCTCCCTTGATTAAAGTGGCCATGAACAGTCTCCAAGGTCTGAAGGCAATCTATCTTCCAGGTTCAGAGAGTGTTACTGCAGACTTCCTCAGCAGAAATTAGATTATTCTTCCAGGAGAATGGAGGCTTCACCCAGCAGTCTTTTCATGGATTGCCCATCAGTGGGGCATACCCCAGATCAACTTGATGGCGACTTACCAGAATTGTCAGGTAGAGAATTTCTACTCTCTCCGTCCAAACAATCCCTTTCTTGGTCGTTCGATCTAGAGTATGCGTTCCTTCCCCTACCCATGATTCCCAGATGCCTGTGGAAAGTTTGGACGGAAGGCAAAAAAGTAATTGCCATAATCCCAATCTGGACTCGAAGGCCATTGTTTCCTATCTTAACCATGAGGAGTCAGGAACGGCCTTTGCTTCTTCCGATAATGAAGGATCTGCTGACTCAGGGCCGACTGCTGACTCAATCTCCCATCTTCATCCAAAACACCTCAAGTTGGGGGTGTGGGTTTTGAAAAGGGAAGACTTCAACAATTAGGCCTTTCGGAAGAAGTGGCCAATACCCTTTTGTAGTCTAGGAAGGGTTCTACTTCCTCATGCTACCATAGAATCTGGGATATATTCAGAGAATGGGCATCGGCCAAGAACATTGACTTCTTGCAACCTCGCAATACTGAGATCCTGGATTTCCTCCAAGGAGGTCTAGACAAAGGCCTTAGCCTCAGCACTCTTAGAGTTGAGTCCTCGGCTCTTTCAGCATTATGCAATATCTTATGGGCTTCGGATCCTTTGATCTCAAGATACTTCAAGGCAGCTTTCAGGTTGACACCTCCTTCCAGATCCGGTACCCTTCCTTGGGACCTTCCTCTTGTTCTCAGCTATCTAACTGATGATCTGTTCATTCCCCTTGAAAATTTGCATGCTACCCTTCTGACTTACAAGACTTTGTTTTTGGTGGCTATTACTTCCGCAAGAAAAATTTCAGAGATTAAAGCCTTTTCTACCATGTCTTCCTGCCAACAGATCTATCAGGATAGGGTGTGTCTGAGACCAAAACCTGAGTTTCTTCCTAAGGTGATCTCTCAGTTTCAACCCTCTCAAGAAGTGGTCCTTCCATCATTCTATCCCAATCCAACTTCTAGTGAAGACGTTAGGTGGCAAAGTTTGGATGTTAAGAACTATCTGTCTCAATACCTTTTTCATTCTAAGTCATACAGAAAGACTGACCAACTCTTCGTTCTACCTTCAGGAGCTAGGAGAGGTGAGGCAGCATCTTTTATCTACGTTGAAATGTTGGATTTTGCTAAAATAATCAGGATAGCATCTGTCTCTAAAGGTCAGTCTCCTCCAATAAAGATAAGAACACATTCTACCAGAGCATTGTCGACTTCATGGGCTAATTGGGCAGAGGTTCCATATGATCTTTGCAGAGCAGCCTCCCCAATGACATTCATAAAAAGTTACAAACTGGACGTGGCCTCTCCTTCCACCTCCTTTGGAAAGAGTGTTCTGTCTATGGTTTCTTTATCCCACTTTGCGGCATGGGTGTCTGTATAGTGTTTTTTTCTCGGTTTCTTTATTCCCACCCTATATTTCTGTGAGCTTGGGTATTCCCCATAAGTGATGCTGCCACGATTAGCCAGGAATAGAGAAAATTTATGACAAACTTACCATAATTTTCTTTTCCCTGCTATTTCCCATGGCAGCATCAGGGATTGCCATTCTTTTATTTTTTCATCTTTATAATTGGACTGTGTTGTAAGGGGAGGACTCTTTATACCTATCAGTCTTATTAATTCCTGCTCTGTGACTGCTAAGGGAGGAGCTACCCATAAGTGATGCTGCCATGAGAAATAGCCAGGAAAATAAAATTATGGTAAGTTTGTCATAAATTTTCTCTATTTGTATTCAGTAATGTCTCACGAGCACCACAGTAACCCCCATGTACAGGTTTTATGAGTTTTTAGAAACTTAGAGGCCAAATATAGGGCTTTCCAATTATCCATTAAAATTTGCCAGTTTGGTTTGCTGGGCCTTTGATGTTGCCTTTGAGACCGTATGGTAGCCCAAAAATGAAAATTAACCCCACCATGGTATACCATTTTAAAAAAGTAGACAAACCAGGGTATTCAAAATGGGGTATGTCAAGTGGTTTTTAATAGCATTCATATTTGTTTTTTGCATTTTTACACTTAATGGTGATATCATCGTCGTGATAAGTTTTACTGTTTTATAACACATATTTGTGTTCAGAGAAGTCTCCAAAGTACAATAGAACCCCCTGTGTCCAGGTTTTATGGTGTTTTGGAAAGTTAGGACTTGCAAACTAAATTCTCTGGACTTGCTGCCTGGGTTGTCATGCTGGTCTCTCAAATTATAATTAAAGGGACACTCCAGGCACCCAGACCACATCTGCCCATTGGAGTGGTGTGGGTGCCAACTCCCACTACCCTTAACCCTGCAACTGTAATTACTGCAGTTTTCATAAACTGCAATAATTACCTTGCAGGGTTAACTCCTCCTCTAGTGGCTGTCTACTAGACAGCCACTAGAGGGCGCTTCATAGCACAGGTTTTCTGTGCTAGAGCGTCGCTGGATGTCCTCAAGCTGTGTGAGGACCTCCAGCGTCGCTCAATTCCCCATAGGAAAGCATTGAAAAGCATTTAAAATGCTTTCCTATGGAGAGCTGTAATGCGCATGTGCGGCATTGTCGCGCATGCGTATTAGGTCTCCTCAGCCGGCGGGCGGGATCAGTTTCCCCTGCCGGCTGACGTGATGAAGGGGAGGAGCGGCGGCGACCCGAAACCACCGCCGAGGGACATCGGCGGGGGTCTTAGGTAAGTCAATGAAGGTGTTTTCACCTCTTCAGCAACCGGGGATGGGTGGTGGGAGGGAGAGGGGACCTGCAGTGCCAGGAAATGGATTGTTTTCCTGGCACTGGAGAGTCCCTTTAATAAAATGGCTTAATTAAGTTAAAAGATTACATAAATATACACGTAGAATTTAAATATATATACAATCCTACGTGTATGTTTATGTAATTATACAGGGAGTGCAGAATTATTAGGCAAATGAGTATTCTGACCACATGCACATCACTCTTTATGCATGTTGTCTTACTCCAAGCTGTATAGGCTCGAAAGCCTACTACCAATTAAGCATATTAGGTGATGTGCATCTCTGTAATGAGAAGGGGTGTGGTCTAATGACATCAACACCCTATATCAGGTGTGCATAATTATTAGGCAACTTCCTTTCCTTTGGCAAAATGGGTCAAAAGAAGGACCTGACAGGCTCAGAAAAGTCAAAAATAGTGAGATATCTTGCAGAGGGATGCAGCACTCTCAAAATTGCAAAGCTTCTGAAGCGTGATCATCGAACAATCAAGCGTTTCATTCAAAATAGTCAACAGGGTCGCAAGAAGCGTGTGGAAAAACCAAGGCGCAAAATAACTGCCCATGAACTGAGAAAAGTCAAGCGTGCAGCTGCCACGATGCCACGATGCCACTTGCCACCAGTTTGGCCATATTTCAGAGCTGCAACATCACTGGAGTGCCTAAAAGCACAAGGTGTGCAATACTCAGAGACATGGCCAAGGTAAGAAAGGCTGAAAGACGACCACCACTGAACAAGACACACAAGCTGAAACGTCAAGACTGGGCCAAGAAATATCTCAAGACTGATTTTTCTAAGGTTTTATGGACTGATGAAATGAGAGTGAGTCTTGATGGGCCAGATGGATGGGCCCGTGGCTGGATTGGTAAAGGGCAGAGAGCTCCAGTCCCACTCAGACGCCAGCAAGGTGGAGGTGGAGTACTGGTTTGGGCTGGTATCATCAAAGATGAGCTTGTGGGGCCTTTTCGGGTTGAGGATGGAGTCAAGCTCAACTCCCAGTCCTACTGCCAGTTCCTGGAAGACACCTTCTTCAAGCAGTGGTACAGGAAGAAGTCTGCATCCTTCAAGAAAACATGATTTTCATGCAGGACAATGCTCCATCACACGCGTCCAAGTACTCCACAGCGTGGCTGGCAAGAAAGGGTATAAAAGAAGAAAATCTAATGACATGGCCTCCTTGTTCACCTGATCTGAACCCCATTGAGAACCTGTGGTCCATCATCAAATGTGAGATTTACAAGGAGGGAAAACAGTACACCTCTCTGAACAGTGTCTGGGAGGCTGTGGTTGCTGCTGCACGCAATGTTGATGGTGAACAGATCAAAACACTGAGAGAATCCATGGATGGCAGGCTTTTGAGTGTCCTTGCAAAGAAAGGTGGCTATATTGGTCACTGATTTGTTTTTGTTTTGTTTTTGAATGTCAGAAATGTATATTTGTGAATGTTGAGATGTTATATTGGTTTCACTGGTAATAATAAATAATTGAAATGGGTATATATTTGTTTTTTGTTAAGTTGCCTAATAATTATGCACAGTAATAGTCACCTGCACACACAGATATCCCCCTAACATAGCTAAAACTAAAAACAAACTAAAAACTACTTTCAAAAATATTCAGCTTTGATATTAATGAGTTTTTTGGGTTCATTGAGAACATGGTTGTTTTTCAATAATAAAATTAATCCTCAAAAATACAACTTGCCTAATAATTCTGCACTCCCTGTATCTATTTATATGTATATTTTATTTATTTTTTATATATATATATATATATATATATATATATAAATTCATACTAAGTGTATTTTGATAACTATATATGTATATATAATATATACAACTATTGTATGTATATAATATATGTAACTCCATAATAACTGTATTTTAATATTGATAAATATATAGCTATCAAAATAAAAATACTTTAGTTATTATGAGTTATATATATAATTTGTGATTTCTGTGGAAAATCAAGTCTTATGGCTTGGCTGGTGTGCAGATTTTTGTTTAGCATTGTATTAACTATCCACAGACTTCAGGTGGAAGGGGTTTTCAATCACAATTTTTCCCCACCATAACCTTTTTGGTTATATATATATATATATATTCTTTTTACCCTGATTGCTTTAACTTTTTTTAATCTTTTCTGACCAGCAGGGGGACTGCCTGTCAGTTTAGACCAGGCTTCCCCAAACTCTGGCCCTCCAAATGTTGCTGAACTACAACTCCCATGATTTTCAGCCTCTTTCATTCATAGAATCATGGGAGTTGTAGTTCAGCAACATCTGGAAGGCCGGAGTTTGTTTTTTTTGCTATTGCCTTCCATGTGAACGATCACATGGTCCCTGGGGGCCTAAATTTCCAAGGGGGAACTGCCTGACAGAAGCGGATCGTGGCAGAGGTGAGTAGACAGCGGCCGCTGGGGCTTTTTAAAATGCCCATAAGAAAGATTGGCGTCTAGCAATATGCCTAGATATTTGAAAGAACGGACTGCAGTCAGGGTGCCATTTGATTTTGTTCTGATGCGTATATGGGAATTTAGTAATTTCTATCATTTAGGAACTGTTCCAAAGATCATTGTGACATCTTGTCAGTGTTTAGGAAAAGTTTCTTATATGCAATTTGTTTCTCTACATCTGTGAACAGATCTTGGAGCACAACCTCAAGCTGCAGTAGATTTGATTTGCTAACGTAGGTTTTTAAGTTTTTGCAATAGAATGTAATGTTCTACTGTGTCAAAGGCCATCAGTGAAAATAGCTCCAGTTAGGTCTCCTTGTTCCATGCCGGTTTGGATGTCATTGCAATATTTTAAGAGGGCAGTTGAGTGATTTGGACGAAAGTATCATTGATATGGGGTTAGATAGTTTGAATGTTGATTTGCCTCCAAGATCCTCGAGAGAGTTGTGTACACCAGACTGACTGACTTTCTCGAAACCAACTCTCTGTTTGACCCCCTTCAATCTGGATTCCGCACTGGTCATTCTGTCGAAACAGCTGTGACCAAAGTATCCAACGATTTAATTGCTGCTAAATCTCGCGGCCATTACTCTATCCTAATTTTCCTTGATCTCTCTGCTGCCATTTATACTGTTGATTATCAACAGCTTATTCACATTCTCCGTAATTTTAGTCTACGGGATACTGCTCTCTCCTGGTGCTCCTCCTACCTCTCCCAGCGCTCTTTCAGTGTTTCTTTCTCTGACTCTGGCTTCTCCCCCCAACCACTCTCTGTCGGCTTCCCCCAAGGTTCTGTCCTTGGTCCCCTACTGTTCTCCATCTACACTGCCTCCCATGGTAAACTCATCAGCTCGTTTGGCTTCCATTATCATTTCTATGTTGATGACATGCAAATTTACCTGTCCTCTCCTGATCTCTCTCCTCCCATCTTGACTCGTGTCTCTGACTGCCTCTCTTCAATTTCCAAATAGATGGCTGCTCACTTCCTTAAACTCAACCTGTCCAAAACAGAACTTCTGGTCTTTCCTCCCTGAAGTGTTACTACTCCCGTGTCTGTCTCCCTCCAAGTCAACGGTGCTACCATCACCTCTACCTCTCAGGCCCGCTGCCTGGGTGTTCTTTTTGACTCCAACCTCTCCTTCACCCCTCACATCCAATCAATCGCCAAATCCTGTCGCTTCCATCTGAAAAACATAGTGCGCATCCGCCCCTATCTAACCCCGGATGCGGCTAAGGTGCTGGTCCATGCTCTTGTTCTCGCCTGGACTACTGCAATACTCTTCTCAGTGGTCTTACGTGTTCCCAGATTGCACCGTTGCAATCTATAATGAATGCAGCGGCAAGGCTCATTTTCCTTTCCGCTCGCACCTCCCACACCTCTCCGCTCTGTCGGTTGCATTGGCTCCCGGTTACATATAGGGCTCAATTTAAAATTCTGGTGCTTGCTTACAAGTCCCTACATAATGCTGCTCCAACCTACCAATCCTCCCTAACACACAAGTATGTCCCGTTGAGGCCCCTGCCAAAGACCTACGTATATCCTCTGTCCATACTCCCACCTCTAACGCTCGCCTCCAAGACTTTTCCAGGGCTGCACCTCTTCTGTGGAACTCCCTTCCCTCCGCCATAAGAATTTCACCCAGTCTCCACTCATTCAAAAAATCATTGAAAACTCACTTCTTCAAGAAAGCATATCAATTAAACTGTTAGCAGGTTTTTATCCTCCACCCTCCATGACTCCTCTCCTGCAACTGTCAAAAAATACCCACTAAGCCCTCCGCTTATATTTTTCTAACAACTTACTTCATACCCCTTCTATTACCCTTTGTGTCACTATACCCCATTCCCTCTAGCATGTAAGATCATTGAGCAGGGCCCTCAACCCCTCTGTTCCTGCACGTCGAGTTGTCTGGTTACAATTAAATGTCCGTTAGTCCACCCTTTGTGGCACTATATAAATAATAAAATAATAATACTCACAAAGTTGCGTGTGAATGCATGTTCCCAAGATTTTTCACAATACGGGGAGCAATGATATTGAATGATAGATACCACATTATTGTCACCACTTTTATGGATAGGTATTACTCTAGCAGTCTTCCAAAGTTTGGGTATGTATCCAGGTACCAAGGATTCATTGATTAGGATTACAACAGTTTTACCAATTGCTAACACACTGAGCTTCAGCAACATTGCTGTGCTTTTATAAGGGTCACACTGGTTTTTCATTTCTAGATTATTAAGGTGTTTAATTAATGAAACAAACGGGTAAAGGTCTGATTTGAATTTATGTACAAGGGGGCAAATTTAGTAGGGCCTGAACTGCATTCGTAATTGCAGAACTTGTGCCATTAGCAATCAGGGTGGTGGCACATCCAACAAAATAATTATTAAAGGCATTTGCCACATCTTGGGTTTGTAGGGTTTGGTTGTCCACTTTGACAGTAGAGGGTTGGAAGTGGATTGGCTGAGTTTACTTGTGATTTTCCAAATGTTTCCTGGGTTTGATATGTTATTGTTTTGCCATTGTCTGTAGGCACAGTAATCATTCATGGAGCCAGTATGCTTGAACACATTTGTATTCCTAACGCTATTTTGTTCCTTTAACCAACACTTAAAAATTAGCAGCTTTTTTTTTTTTGCAGCTGTTTTTGTTCATGAGCAGAACCACCTTCAAAGTCCTGTAGGATCAGGAACACAACCGTTTAAAAACACAATCTAGCCCCCCTACCTTGTCCCCCTTAAATATAGTAAAATCTTACCTTTATTCCAATCTGCTCCTGGCTGACAACTTCAGAAGTGGTGTTCTGATCCAATCACAATGCTTCCCCATAGGATTGGCTGAGACTGTCAAGGAGGCAGATCAGGGGCAGAGCCAGCATGATTCAAACACAGCCCTGGCCAATCTGCATCTCTATGCAGAGGGTGGAGACACTGAATGTTAGTCACACAGTGCAGCACTGCCCCAGAAAGCACCTCTAGCAGCCATCTGAGGAGTGGAGATATCCTAATTTTAGGCTGTTATTACTGGCGTACATATAGGGGTTGCAGCTGCAACTGGGGCTGTCACTCCAGGGGCCCTGGCTGCCCTGCAAACCCCTGCGACCGGGTACCAGCCGCCATGTTTTGCGGCCCCGTCCTGGTCGCCGTTCACGGGGTCCATTGGGTAGCCCATGCTGTTAGGGCCACCCGATGGAGATGGATTTTCAGGGGGCCCAGTCAGCGCTGGGTGCTTTAACAGCGCAACCGTGCCCCCTGTGATGACATCACTGCTGGGAGGAAGTGACTGCACGTCATTCCTCCCAGCATACACAGAGCCCGCACAGGAAGAAGGACAGGGAGTCAGAGTGGGAACTCTGACTCCCACAAGCCTGAGCCACCTCTGGACCCCAGGGAATGTCACTCTCCTGCACCTAAAAGGCAGGAAACAGGAGGGTGACTAAAATATTTTGTATATGTGTGTGTTTGTTTGTATGTATGTATGTATGTATGTGTGTCTGTCTGTGTGCCTGTCTTTTTGTATGTATGTATGTATGTATGTCTTGTGTATGTGTATGTCTGTAAGTGTGTATGTCTGTCTGCATGTGTCTGTGTGTATGTGTGTGTGTCTGTCGAAGGGAGAGGGGGGGAGGGGGCCATTGATCAGTTTCGCACCGGGGTCCCATGAATTGTGTGTACGTTACTGGCTATAATGTAAAACACTGCCTTTTCTCTCGAAAAAAACAGCATTTACTGCAAAAAGTCTGAAGGGACTGGTTATACACACAAGAGCAAATACAATAAGCTGTAGTTGTCCTGATTACTAGAGTGTCTCTTTTAAATACTACTACAGTAATATGAAGTAGTTACATTAAAAAAAAAATAATGATATACATGTACATTACATCTAAACTATTAAAGAGTATATGGTTGTTGTTTTTTCTGTATTATATTTTTAGTGATCTTATAATAATCTGTGTCAAACCTTGCCAGTGTGTGAAATTGCCTAAAATGTATTGCAATACATCGCAGAGAACAACAGTGCCTTCTAGAGGTACATCTCATAAGCAAAATGGTTAACAATAAATTCCTTGTGCTTTCTATTTTGTGTCGTTATCATCCAGCTCAGTGGTGTTCATTGTATAGACCTCGGAAGGGTATAGATTGACATGACAATGCCAGGAATAGTCTAGAGGTCTAAATAGGTTCTATAGTTGGTGCCGTAACATCAATACTATTCCTCACTTTGTATTAAAAAATACAACGTACAGAACCCAGTTTTCTTGGTTTTCATGGAATGTGAAGAAAATAATAATGTCTTATTTCCTGGATTATTGTCATTGGATCTGGTTGCCAAACTTGACCATGTGGCAGCTGACTAGAAATTCATATACCGCCATAAACCGCGGAGGTTTCTTTTGGAACAGGCTGGGTAAAGACACTCTGCTCACCATAACCACTTTGGTTTCAACTGCTGTAATGTTCAGGAAGCCTTTTAAGATTTACAGGGGAACTGCCACTTCATTGGAAGGGACTATCCTTTGTTCCCTCCTTCCAGTAAATGTTACGGAAACATTTATTGGGTTAAATAGTGCAGCAGAGGTGTGTAAAGAAAAAAAAAAAATACCTTTTTAGGCATTTCCACATTTTGTGTTAAATAGGTTTTTATTTCGTATGCAAAACTTTAGCGGACATGGAGCAGGTTTAAGAAACAATCACGTTAATGCCTTCGCAGAGGCATAGTTTGTCTACCTATATTAGAACATTTTGCATATTTCACAACAATTCCAGCCTGGGTCAGACATTTCCACATTTTGGGTGTTCTCATTCCCACTTGACCTCCTCAATAAGGGTTTGTGAACTCAAACATTCGTTTCATAGTGCCATTATGGTATATGAGAACATCTCAGATCAGAATAAGAGGTTCCTGGTGGGTAGTAGCCTCTCAGCTTTTCCCGTTTTAGTGGGGTATACTGTATTTTTAATTTGTAAAAAAATATTTATTTTATCTATAATGTGTTAATTAAATGTGTGGGTTTTCCTTTAATTGTGCATTAGGCTAGAGTGGTTTCCCTTTATTTGTGCATTAGACTGAAGTATCAAACTTTGCTACAGACGGCCAGCAGTACACAAATTCCAAAAATGTATATTACAATCTGGCTCAGATTTGTGAACCCAGAGATAAAGTCAGTGTTAGCTAATTTATTTTAAAATTCCGTAGATTTCCGGAGTAATATTTTCTCAATGTGTTGAGAATGTCTGCTGACATCATGCGGTCATATTATTTGTATTAAAACTTTTTCTGAAAAGAAAATAGCCTGAAGCAGGAAATATTACTTCTTAGCAAACGACCGAAGGTTATTTGAAAGGCGTGTTAGTGGGATTTGTTTTTTTTTTAAGAATTTGGAATTCATGGATGAATGAAACAGGCTTTAGACTATGATTTTATTAAATATCGTAATCTATAAACAGAAACGTCTGAGCTCTTTACATATGGAATCATACAAAGTACGTAGACCAATAGGATCTCACCTGCCAATTAATTCTACGTCTCTTTTCCCTGTAGCTCTTCACAATGGACATCACAATGAAAACTTGTACACGGAGATTTTAGGGAATTATTTGAGGGGTTACACCCAGGTTGTGGGATTTATAATCCACTGTTCACATTGTTTGTAGTTTGCACTAACATTCACTGGGATAATTGATGCTACTAAAGGATTTCCTTATAGTCTTTTGATACAGGAAGGAGACACATATTCATTGAACGTTTCCTTAAAGGTTCCAATAAATAATCAGACAACAGAGTTCTAGTGCGGGATTAATTTAGGAGGATTTAACTTGTATATATTTACAGGCAATAACTTTCATTTTTTGCTTTATTTCTCTAGAAAGCATTCTTATTTATAAAATGGGATATTATTATCTATAGTATTTCTATACGCTTGTTCTGTCTGTATTGCAATGGTATAAAGCTCCACAAAGTGTATCGATCTCGAAAATCAGTAACAAGAAAGTGTCACTTTAACTTTTTCTTTTCTTTTTTTTTTTTATTTTTAAACACCAGTAGGTAAGTAACAAACATCTAGTGTTTAAAAAAAAAAAAAAAAAAGCACAGTATTTATACTTTATTTTATATTTACAGTATGTCATGGTGTTTTGGCACAGAAAAGGCAAGTGATGGAACTCAATGTTGCCATGCACGGGGTTGCTGTGATGGTAGGACATTTTTGATATTTTAGAATACCAGCAGTATTATCAGTTATAGCATGGCAGACTTCTATTAGAAGTCAGAACAATATAAGAATTTAAGTAAACATACAGTATTCCCCTACATGCGTAGATAGAAAGTCATACAATAAAGCAGAGGCGAAAACTAGGAAACAAATTATCAGTTGGGTTTTGGAAATAAGTCATGATTGTAATCATGGTGCTAATCATAAATATGTGACATCTATGTTTAACTCCTAGAAGTGGGTGGTGATAGTAGACAGGTTGTGTATCTTATACTGTGGGTTTCCGTTGTGAGGGTCAGGCTGGAATTGATGGTTGTCATAACACACTGAAGTCTACAGGTGGATCACTCATGTTATTTAACTCAACAATGCTTAAAAAAAACAACAAACCAGCAAAGTAAGATTGTTGGGTTTTTTGTTTGTTTTTTTCTTCTCCATGGTTGGGAAGGTGACACTGACCTTACTATTAGCTACAAATTAATGGTTGTGCACTCACCCCTCCTGTATTTTACACACTTTTTTTTTTTTTTTAACTCTATTGGCTGTTCATGCATCCCCTGGGTCCTCTGTTCAAATACCCATCCCCACCTTCCTTGGTTCCTTTACCTAATCTAATACAAATATCCCACCCTACATTCTGCTGTGTATGTCTTCTGGATCTCTGACTCTTGCTCTTCTCAGATGCAATTCCACATCAGCTGCGATGACCAATGGATGGAACTGGACCACGAGACTCATCAAGATCTCTCTGACCTTGATATCAGTATTCACAGCTCCTTAATCTGTTTTTCATTTTTCATTAACCCCCTCGCTGTCACATATTTTCTATGGGCCTGTTTTCATCTCACAACCTTCCCAGGGAGTTGTGCTTTCCATGGTGTGCTCTAATGTTGTTTACAAGCTGGTATAGCTACGCATTCTTACAATAAATGTAAATCTATGCTTTGCTGGTAAAAAAAAACACTTTCCTGGGCAATACATATAATTTCACAATACTCCGCATTGCCAATCTTGTAGTCTCATTGAGCATGAACGCCAACACTAACTGTAAATATTTTAACCTTGGTAGAGAGTGGCGCAACGCACTGCTATCTTCCCTGGTAATATTTAGGTGACATTGTTAGTGACATCATCAGGTCCATTCTTACACAATAAGTATGGACACATACAACACATCTTGGAAACTAGATATCTAAACATGGCCTTTTGGCAATGTACTTTGATATAATTTTTTATTAAACATTAACAGTAGTTGCACCTGCAGTTTAATTGAAGGTACAGTAAGGCTGGTGAATTCAGACACTTTAGACTGGCAGCATGTATAATAATTTCTAGAAGGTCATTCTACAGACATTTGCGCAATCAACGTTTCGCAATATGGAGGCAAATTGCAGTTATAGATAAGCAGGCTACTCAGATAATTTAGGTATTTTGAGATGCTAATGAACTGGTCAAGAATGAATGTAAGCTGTACCTGAATTCAAAAGTGTTTTGTTTTTTTCTTTTATGACACGTGTCGTATCACAAGTATCAGTAATAAAGTTACACTGGAGAATAATGATGTAATGAATAATGCAGAGTGCTAAGGTTACAGAGGCGATTTGTCACACGTTCCAATTGTCTATGACTTGCATTAACTTATTTACCAGTGAATTATTTTCATGTAAAAAAAATAAAAAATAGAGCCAATAGAAAAATAGCACAATATTATTTTCTATTAATTTTAATTTTATTTATTCCAAAATGTTTGATAAAAATGAAAATCCAGTGCACTCCCTTATCTACTAAACCGCAACTTGTGTATTTGAGTAGTGGATGTAGTGTGTGTACAGTGATGTAGTGTGTGTTTGTGTAGTGGATGTAGTGTTTGTATGTACTAGATGAAATGTGTTTAGTGGATGCAGTGTCTGTAGTGGATGTAGTGTGTGTATTAGATGCAGTGTCTGTGTATAGTGAATGCAGAGTGTTTCAATTTGTGGTGGATGTAGTGTGTGTACTGTTAATACAGGATGTTTGTGTAGTGGATGCTGTGTGTACAGTTAATGCAGAGTGTGTGTGTTATTGTGTAATGAATGCAGAGTGTGTGTGTTAGTGTGTAATGAATGCAGAGTGTGTGTTAGTGTGTAGTGAATGCAGAGTGTGTCAGTGTAATGAATGTAGTGTGTGTGTGTTAGTGTGTAGCGGAGGCAGAGTGTGTGTTAGTGTAGCGACTGCAGAGTGTGTGTCAGTATAGTGGATGCAGTGAGTGTGTTAGTGTGTAATGTATGCAGAGTGTGTGTTGTATTAGTGTATTAGTGTATGCAGTGTGTGTGTTAGTGTATGCAGTGTGTGTTGTAATAGTGTATGCAGAGTGTGTGTTGTGTTAGTGTATGCAGTGTGTGTGTTGTGTTAGTGTATGCAGTGTGTGTTGTGTTAGTGTATGCAGTGTGTGTGTGTGTTGTGTTAGTGTATGCAGTGTGTGTGTTGTTTTAGTGTATGCAGTGTGTGTGTTGTTAGTGTGTTGTGTTAGTGTATGCAGTGTGTGTGTGTTGTGTTAGTGTATGCAGTGTGTGTGCGTGTAAATGTGCAATGTGTAAATGAAATGTAAATGTTTCTCCCCCCTCCCTGCTTACCTGTGTCCAGGGAGGGGGGAGATTCCATTCCTGGTGGTCCGGACCGGTGGGGGGGGGGGGCCCGGCTCCCTGTTACCACAGAGGGGGCCCAGGCAGCACACAGCTTCTCCTCTCTTCTCTCTTCTAATAACTCTCGCGAGACCCAGTTACCATGGCAACGCTCTGCGGGTCTCGCGAGAGTTATTAGAAGAGAGAAGAGAGGAGAAGCTGTGTGCTGCCTGGGCCCCCTCTGCGGTAACAGGGAGCCGGGAGCCCGCGCCTGCCCACATAGATAGCGATATTCGCTATCTTTGTGTGCAGAGAGGGAAAGTGGGGCCCAGGACTGCCAGAGCAGTCCGGGCCCCCCAGGGCCCCGGGCCCGTGACAACCGTCATGGTTGTCACCCCCTGATGGCGGTCCTGGGGTGCTGCTGGGAGCCAATACGTACAATAAAAATGAAAATCTAGCGCATCAAAATTTTTAGCAAATTACAGGGGTGTCCCTGTCTGAATAGAAACACTGTTATGTCACAAACAGTAGTTGTGACAAAAATAAACAAATAAAAATGTTCCAATAAAATCTGCGGAAAGACCATCTGTATAGGCCTGCTCCAACCTTCTTCATGACCATGCGGTTAGATAAATTGGCAAGCACCAGGTAATGAGATTAGGCGAAATATGTTGGTTCTGCAGGATAACTTTTTCTGAAGATAGAAAATTAGCGAGGGACACACAAAATTCGGCCAGATGCTGGTTTGGCTGAGGCTTAATTTGAATTCGGGAAACAAACCAAAAAGATGTGAAAACTGTCTAATCAGTGTGCTGCAATACATATACATAAAACATGATTGCAAACTCATTCGAACAGGGTCCGCGTCATTCTATTGTTCCAGAAACATTTTGTAATCATCTCATTTATTGTTAAATTTCCCCCTTTATAATATTGTAAAGTACTGTGAAATACAGTTGTAATCAAAATTATTCAACCCCCCATTGAAAATGAGTTTTTTTGTCAAAATGTACAGACGTTTAGCTGTTTGCAACGGACCAACCATACAAAAGCAAAAGTATTGACATAGCTCAACACAACGAATGATTCATCTGGTTTCCCCAAATTCAATTGAAAATGCAACTATAATACTTATTAGGCACCCCACCTAGCTGTGACTGGCACAGCTTGTATGAAAACAAAATGGTTTTATTTTCATTCAGATGTTAACGTACTTTAAAAGTTTTTTTCTCCTGCAATGTAAATTTAATTTTAATTACATACAGGAGGCTCCTGCATGGTCTAGATGTCTGTTAACACAACAGGAGATAGCACATTATAAATTAAACAGGATTTGCAATAGAGGAAGTGTAAACATTAGATAAC